CTTCACATCAGTACGCTGCAAGTGGCAGGAGGTCTGAGAGAAATATTAAAGATAAAATTACGCACCCTGATGGGAGAACATTAGGTAACTCAAATAGTTTGATTGTTTTGGCAATTTGTAGTTGAATGATTGATGTTTGCCTGCTTTGTGAGAAAGAATGACCTCTTCTGTGGTTAGACACAGTTTGTTGAGCCACTAACGAAGCAGTTTTGCATTCATTCTCATATCGTTTGTGCAGACAGAAGTTTCAACTTTTTAACTTCCTGAAATACGGTTCTGACCTTTTAAAGGAGCAACTTTCCAAACTGTGTTGTTTACCGTCTGAAAGTTCTCTACATGGACATGTAATGTGCTGGAGTGTGCCTCTGCTGAGCAGATCCGCTCTCTGACGTCTACCATTGTAACAAAGCTCTTCCCATTGTCATGGGTGCATGTTTTTGTGTGTTGTGTGCAACTCAGATCCACCACCTACTGCGTACTTCTCTCCCATTGAACTGAAAGCCTGTCAACGGCCATTATTCCGAGCAAGACCTCTGCTGTGATCCCTGCCATGTTTCATAAAAGCGTGGCAATTTATTCTAAAGCTCACTGTCTGAGCATGTTAGCTACTACTAAAATTACCGTGTGTGGGTGTGTGTGTGTGTGTGTGTGTGTGTGTGTGTGTGTGTGCGTGTGTGTGTGTGTGTGTGTGTGTGTGTGTGTGTGTGTGTGTGTGTGTGTGTGTGTGCGTGTGTGTGTGTGTGTGTGTGTGTGTGTGTGTGTGTGTGTGTGTGTGTGTGTGTGTGTGTGTGTGTGTGTGTGTGTGTGTGTGTGTGTGTGTGTGTGTGTGTGTGTGTGTGCAGACCCATTGCTTTCCTCCTTTTTTGCTCCTAACTCTGTCATTCCCGTGGACGAATCCTGCCAAAAGGAGCTGAGTAGACAAGTTAGCCTTTCTCAGGTGCTTTTTCGCAAAGAAGTCTGAACTCTGTGTGTGTGTGTGTGTGTGTGTGTGTGTGTGTGTGTGTGTGTGTGTGTGTGTGTGTGTGTGTGTGTGTGTGTGTGTGTGTGTGTGTGTGTGTGTGTGTGTGTGTGTGTGTCTGTGTGTGTGTGTGTGTGTGTGTGTGTGTGTGTGTGTGTGGCTGAATATTTAGCACTGTTCGTCACCTTGCTGCAACACATCCCTCACACACTGATCAGATTAATGGAGCCCTAGGGGATGTGGGTTGCCTCCCAAGCTTGCACAGTGAAACAGGCCTTGCATGCATGTGTGTGTGACTTTTCTTCAGACCTGGTTTAACATCCAAAGTTTGTGTAGAGTAGCTACTAAAAAAAAAATTCTTTCGGCTGCTGGTTTGTAGATGAAGGTCAAATCAAATCCTTTTAAAAGTATTCATGCTCAGTGTCATGAAAACAGGTTTAGAGTGAACTGTGCACATGAGGGTCAGACACAAGGTTACATTCAAACACCCGTGCATTCTCAGAGCAAAAGAATTGTTTTGTCTTTGTATCTCTGTTGACAATGTGAGTGTAAGGAGCAAAGCTGGCTGTGTGACATTAGGATGTGAATTTATGCACAAACAGCTTAAAACATTTAAGTATAATGTCACAGAGCCACAGCACTGCAGTATAATTGTTTAGCTAATTTGCACATCATTAAAATGGTTTTGCTTGAATTTTATTCTATAATTTGTACATTAGTGTTTATACTCTATTTTAATTTTTATAATTGAACTGTACAGACACTCTTATTCAGATTATTTTTAATCCAGCGCATTTTTCTGTTTCTTCTTGCTTTGTTTCAGACGTGCTTCACACCTTTTCCTACAAACATCATCCACCAGAACACACTCACAGCCTTTTGTAGTTTATTTAATTAAATTCCTATTATTTGAGTTATTTTTATTTTTATCAGTTACAAAAATGTTCAACTCTATCAACAGTGGTCGTGTTGTTTAAGTATTTTAGACTTGAAATTTTATTTAACCACTCAGACATAATGTTAGTTACTATTTTTTATGCATTTTTTTCTGCAATGGCTCCTTAAACTAGAAAAGTTGCAGAAGAAAGCTAAATGTAATTTTATCATTTTAGGTTTCAGGGTCTAATGACCTTAACTTCCAGGTGAGATTTAATAGGTTTAACTTTCAATTTCAGTTCACACTCAAGAGATTCAGACTGCCAAAGTGTGTAAAAGCACCATCAATCATACCGAGATAGAGGGCATGTGTTGCTCACTCATGCAGCTCCAGAATTCAGCTCATTCGTTTGTTTTGCTCACCTGCTTTTCCACGAATCTCATCATGTTTCAGATCAGAAAAAGGCTCAGAATTGTTTTTACAGTATCTGTTAAGCGTATTCATGCCTGCAGACCTGCAGTGTGTCATAAACTTTCACAATTAGTTCAATATTTCTTTTGTGTTTTGGTTTTCTTTTCAGTTTTTCTGCTAAATGTAAGTTTTTTTCTTTTAGTTGAACTCCAGTGCTGAATCCTTGCATTCCAGTTTGGTTGACACAATATTTATGATATTTTAGAGCTGCTTCAGGAATGCCAAAGAGTTCACAGAATAGAAAATAGTTTCTCATGCACTTTAGAACAAGTTCAAGGTAAGGATGAAAGATGCTGACAAATGCTTGCATCAGGATGTGAGTGCATGCTGCTTTTGTTCAAAAATTTTCATATTCTTTTGTGCTTTTTTACAGAGCATCTAAGTAACTTTGCTGGCATATGTCCATGTTGCAGGGTTCTTGCTTGTTCATAATGACTTCCTCTATTGAGTCATTGTTTAGCAACAAGCCCGCTGGCCTATTTTTGGGGTTTCAGGCAATTATCCGCAATGCCGAGTGTCGGTGTGGTCCTGTGACACTTCCAGATAGCTGACGTGATGAAGAGAAAATGTCTCTGCCCACGTCTGTCAAGTTCCAGATATAATAGAGTTATTCAACATGCAGACTGAACGACTCGTCTCATTATCTGCTTCCACACTGATTTTTGGTGAAAGCAGTCCAAAACTGCCATCCTAGGTTTCTGTTCACCTGTGTATATCTGTGGAGTGATGAGAGGCTGGTGGAAAAGGGCCCCCGAAGATGCACATGACTCAGTAAGAAAAAGTTTAAAGTTTTTAGTTTGTTTATTATTTTTGAGTTTTTTTTTTTGGCCTGTAGGGGAATATGTGCGTGTGACACACAGCACTAGTCAGAATAAAGGGTATAACGAGGGTATGGGGCAGTCCCTGCGCTGCTGCGGGCTTGCATTTATCTTGGATATAACTTTCTTTTATCGCAATCAAAGCCACGCTCATTAAGTTTTTTTTTAACAAGCTGCTTCTAAAGGTGCCTGTCCTCCACAGTTGCTGTGTAGTCTCTGGTGGTCTGAGCTCCAGCTCTAACGGAGAGAAGCTTCAGGAGCACTGTACTCCAGTTTATCATCTCAGCTGATTCTGTTTACGAAAGCAAAACTTACAGCCTGTGTTTACTTTCATTTTACCGGAGCTTGGCAGTAGCTCTCCACATGATCATGACACCGCCCTCTGTTGCACCAAGGTGCGATCAGCATTTATAAGACAGGTAATTACTGCAATATCACTACCAAGCGGGGCGGAACGAATACTGCAAAATGTGCGAATTGCCATGCTGGCATGGCACAATTATAAGACTCACCATTGCAGTAATATTACCCTGATTTGCCAGCACAATGTGTCTTGTAAAAAGGGCTAGTGTGATGTAGATCTGTCAGGATTTTCAAATCCCAGAGTTTTACCATCTATTTTCTATCAGAAGTTACTGCAGGAGATAGGTGTAGGAGACTATTTTCATGTTTGCCTGCCTGTTAAATATATACTGGGCAGTTCTGGTTTGCTTTTAGCACCCCCTAGTGTCCATTAAAGAAACCAAATGTGAATCCTATCTGTTCACTGTGCGTTCGTCTTTTAACCAACACAATCTCACACCAGAAGCAGCTGAAACACGGGTGTTGGAAAGCGACACTCTGGCACAGCGCGTCACCTCTCAACGCACGTCGGAAACAAACGCTTGGGTCACCCTTCTTCAGTTTCAGCCACTCAGAGTGTGAGAATGTGTTGTTTCAACACCTTAATCTAACAGCTGAAATGTCTCCTTAACCTTCATTAGTTTCTACAGGAACAGTTAATCACCAAATCAATCAAATCAGCTATGTTTACGAACTAAAACATGCAGGAAATCTACTGAAAGCAGATTTCATCACCAGGCATGTCAGCTCCGCTTTTACCAAGTCCAACAAGGACCTGACTGGCACTCCAAAGTTGCAAGTGCGATATTCTGGCCACAGGGGGCGGTAGAGCTCTAAGTGACAATTCATTAACCCTATAAAGGTTAATTTTAGCACATATTGGCTCAAGAAAATTATTTTAAAATATGAAAAAGTTGCATAGTATGCCTTTGAACTAAGTGACTGATTATTTTCTACTATAATAAGTAAAAGAAACTGTTTCTCAGTGAAGGACATCTTTAAAATCGTCCCCATTTCATGAGGAGATGTTGATTTTCATTTTGACCTTTGAACTCCTACTACAGAAATATGTATTTACTTGATTAATTGACACTGTTAGAAAATCATCCAGGCAACATTTACATTTATTTAATAGGTTTAATTTCCTCTTTTAGCGTTTCTTGCATCAAAAGCTATTTCCTCCCTTCACCGACTCATCTGCTCCGCTTGACTCCAGTCTTCTCTTGTTTCAGCCACTTGTTTCCATCCATCTTTTTTACCCCGTCTTCACTGCCATCCTGTATTAGGTTGCTGACCTCCCCTCCTCCATTGTGAGACCCTGTCTGCGTCATGAGCAGCACTTTTAGGATGATTCTATAACATGTCTCTGAGCTGCTGGACAACTCAATCAGCAGCACCGAGATGACACACGGTTATAATCCACTTAATGAAGCAAGTGTACTAATTAAGTGTGGACCTTTTCTTCCTCTGTTTCTCCTTTCCCCCGCCGTTCCCTTCACCACTCCTCCTGATTCCCTCCTCTTCCTCCTCACAGGGTGTTGATGGAGAGCCATTCGAATGACAGCCGGGACCGTGGTCATCACTGGTGGAATTCTTGCTACGGTCATATTACTCCTCATCATCGCAGTGTTATGCTACTGTAGGCTGCAGGTGAGGACGAGCTCTGTGTTTTATTCATGTTACTATCACACTGATCTGCCAGACAGTGGAAACAAACTAGTTCAGTCTGTAAAAACGTAAAAGTAGAAACTTAATGATGCACTGAAGAAAAGTCAGTTTGTGTAGTTTTGCAACAAATGGCTCCTATAAAACAAAACTACACATTCCTTGCTTTGGCAGATTGTCCACATGTTCTAATCTTTTAGCTTTAATATCATCGTGGTGCTCACCTCTAATCACAAATCACATTTCTGAGCATATGTGCGCAAACGTTGAACTTAGTATGCTGAAGTTAAGCAGATATGACACATTTGGACCAATAATTTGCCTAAAATTTGTGAAAGATTTCCATTAATCTAAACACTAAAATCTAAAACAAATCTATAAAAATGATTTGTTTCCATTTTTTTAACCCTCTGGAGGCAGGCGTTGCAGATTTGCAACGTTAAAACCTACCTGGTTACTCCACATACGTACTTCATGAGCATTTTAAACTCAGAAGTACCCCTGAAGGACTTAGTTGTTCGTCCTTTTGTCAAAACTTATTTTGAGCCTGAGAGGGTTAAAAACAAGCCTCGTGCAGCCTTTTTATTTATTTATTTTAATGAAGAATGACTTCATGTCTTGGACTAAAAACGGGTCTTGGAGATGCATCAAAAAATTTGCAGGTGATCAAAAAGTGGTCAGTATTTAGCACGTTCAGCTTAATCGATTAGTCTGAAACCCAGACGTCTGATTTTATTTTACTTTTCTTGGTTCTTGGTGAAATAATTGCTAAGCAGTAATACAAATGTGATATTTTTCCAGGTTCATTAGCTCACGTAATTCATGCTAGCAGTAACAGCTCTTTTATCATTACTTCCATAATCGGGATTTCAAAGCTTTTTTTTTCATTCTGTTAAATATATTTCTGTGAGACAAATTAGAATTACAAATAATTGGTAACAGCAGGACAGTGTGGCGCAAGAATCAGAAATCGGTATTGGCCGTCAAACCCAGAAAATCGGTGAATCTGTAGTCAGGTCATGGATTGTAGTAGATCCAGTTTCAAGAGGCTTGCACGGCAAGCATGACTCACAGAAGGCTCTGAAGCATGTTAGAGTAATGCATGGACCATGCGTAGCTACCAGAGTAGCATGGAGCTTGTAACTGCAAATCCTGGATGAACACTTGTGCAGTTAATTAGAACTTCAACCTGCTCCCTAACCCTCTCAGGCTCAAAATAAGTGTTGATAAAAGGACGAACAACTAAGTCCTTCAGGGGTTCTTCTGAGTAAAAAAAAAATGCTCATGAAGTACGTATGTGGAGTAACCAGGTAGGTAGGTTTTAACATTGCAAATCTGCAACGCCTGCATCCAGAGGGTTAATGGCCCAGGTTCGTCTTACTGCTTATTTCCTCTCAAAAGTGTGAATGTGTGTTTCCTTTTATAATCATGGATGTAGTTGTGTGTGTGTGTGTGTGTGTGTGTGTGTGTGTGTGTGTGTGGTGGGGGGAGGGTACATGACCCCCCACCACCACTTTTTCCAAAGTAAATTTTTGTCCCCTGCACTTTTCCAAAAACAATGTTCTGCTATATTAAATAGACACTGGTTGAGCACTAGGATCAAGCAGAAAACAACCGCTTGTGTTGAAGCCCGTTTCACATTAGAACCGTCCATAAGCTCATCTATTGGCTCTGCTGATACTTGCTAACATGTGATAGGCCGTTCCTGCAACCTGTGTAACTGGCAGTTCTGCATTTTTGACATTGGATAAAAGAGCCTCTAGGCCAGGGGTGTCCAATCCTGGTCCTGGAGGGCCGGTAACCAGCAGGTTTTGTGGTTTTTCTGCTTCAACACGCTTGATTAGCTGGTTGAATCACCTGTGCAGCAGCTCATCAGGCTCTGCAGAAGCCTGTTAATCACCTGCTGATTGAAATCAGGTGTGTTGAAGCAGGTTAACACGAAAACGTGCTGGATACTGGCCCTCGAGGACCAGGATTGGACACCCCTGTCCTAGGCTGTAGCTTTATACATACTTTTTGTATACTCACTGTAAACACCCCCCCACCCCCACCCCCCCGCGAGGTCCTCATGCCAGTTGTGTCCCACCCACTTCTAAAGTCAAAACTACATCCATGTTTGTAATCATTTGTGCATTTTTAATTTTAAACCCAACTATTCTGGATAGGCTTGCCAAATAATTGTCCATTCATGGTTTTGAAAACTCTGCCTATTTTGCTCCAACTTCGTGACAATCTGTTGAAGAATTCGAGGCTTTCTGCAGAGTTCAACTGGGAATTGAGAGCATCCCAGTGTCAGTGTGTAAGCTGAGGCTGAATGCTTCAAAAAAGAGGAAAATAATAAGGCAGTGTGTGTCAGTTTACATGCAAAGCATGCTAGCTATGCTACAGACTTGTCATTGTGGCTATTTGATTTCACAAAGCCGTCAAGCACCAACAAATCAGCAATAATAGCTCACTGTAAGCTGCCATGGAAACACAACAGAACCAGGCAACCTTTTCTTGATCTGTGTGTCTGAAAGCTAATACAATTTTCATGATGACACATGGGAATAGTGTACTATCATCATGTTTTAATTTGATGTGTGGTTCTTAAGATTTCTTTGACTGGGTCAAAATGGCTTCTAGACAGAAATCTTCTCCAGCTGTGAGGTCTACATTTGACATGTTCACTGTCCTGTGGTGTCAGAACACATTCAATAATCTCTAATTCTAACTCTAAGCATTTTAACTTCTAATCCAAAGCAAAAAGTTAAGCAGTCAAAGTAAAGAACCAAGAAAGCAATGTTTAAAAAAAGAAAAGATCTGCAGAAAACGTACAAAAATGGTTAAATTAGCAGTTTCGTGCACAAATGTTTAACAATTATAGCTTTGGAGCATCTCCTGCAACCACTCTGAGGTTTGTTTTCATGCAGGTCATCAGCGTGGATGGCTGACATTTTCACTAAGTGATCATCAGTGTCATCATGTATCGAGTTTTTAAATGTCACGTTTCAAATAGCAAGAAGAAGGCGGCTTTCTTTTATTGATGACAAGAAAGCTGTTGTCAGTTCAGGAGTTTTGTTGTGAAATATCTGACGCTGATATTTGTTTTGCACCTGTTTACGTGGATTTTGTTTCTGTTGGGGAAATCTTGTCCAAACTGGTTTCCAACACGAACTGTTGTGGTAAACTTGACTCAAATAATTGACACGTTCACATTTTCTCAAGTTTTTCTCGTGTTTAACATGAAAACAAAACACAAGTTCAATTCATGGAAGTGAAATGACCTGCTTCGTGTTTCCACGCTTGACAAACTCCACTTAGGTTACACTAATACCAACACGCAGCACCACTTCTGCAGCTGGGTTTAATCTGCAGGAATCCGCTGACAGCACTTCACTTCTTGAGGGTTGCAGAGGAGCCTTTCAAACATGATTGGCAAACAAATGGAGCTAATTAATTCAGAAATAACACCTTCTATTTTTAGGCTTCCTAAAGAAGTAGCTTAATAATCTGACTGCATTCTTGGGGAGAAGATTACCGTACCGACATTATCCGTGACTTATAATGTAATTGTAATTGACTAACATAGCACAAGCAATAGGAAACTCATCTTTCTGTACCAACATGAGCTACAAAATAAACTAAATTCATTTTATTTCTTTAGATTTTCAGTGTTTGAGTTCTTCAGCAACAAAAGGCAAACCTGCAGCAGGCTCAGACGCAGCATTTAAAACGAGTTCTTGCACAGAAAGTGTTATTTCCTTGTTGTAAATCACTGCAAAATGTGTTAGTTACTCACAACCACAACAGAGTAGATTGACAAACATCTGGTGCCAAAACTTTCATGAATGAAGCAGCGGAGGATGCTTCTCACCTCCTCCTGACTGACTTCAAAACCACCCTTTGTCCTGCCACCTTATGCAATCACCTCGTTTTATGCAACAGCATCCATTCCTGCATGATAGTATATATGGTGAATGTGAAAATGTGAAGTAATCAGATTTATATGTTTAAGGAATCAAAGTTTAGATCGTCTTTAAAGTAAAATTGGGATTTGATTCATTTGTCTGGTTTTGGCTGCGTCCCAACTCCCCTGTCAGAAAAGGAACCAAATAGAGTTACATCACTTCAAGGAGAATGTTATTCAGATGAGTTCTTGGTGACTTTGTTTCTTGGAATTAAACCAAATATGTGAGCCATTAGACCTGAGACGTGTCTTCCTGACTCTTTCCGTCTCCATTTTATAAACTGGAATGAGGAATAATGGTTTATTTGACTCAAACAGAAATAATAAATGTGCAGGTTAAACTGGAAAAATGAGTATCTGGTGTAAAAATCCATTTATTTCAGTACTTCATCATAAACTGAGAGACCATCTAAAATCTTAGGAGCCCTTTCCAGGTGTTTTGGATTTGCATCAGCTGTAAGCCATAATCATCACAATTATATTAAATGAAGGCTTGAAATATCTGGCTTTGCATAGAATGAGTCTATTTTATATATTAGTTTTGCCTTTTTAATTGAATTATTTAAATAAATGAACTTTTGCACCATGTTCTAATTGTTCAAGTTTCACCATACGAAACAGATGTTCCTTAAGGAGGTTCTCCCAGATTTTACAAAGAGCCTGTAGTTCTGTTGAGCCAGTCCCTGACTGGGTTATTTGTTAGTGACTAGAGTCATGAAAAATGTGAGAAAACATGTACATTTTTTAGTTGGAGTCGCTCTGAATTGTTTGCAGTTTATCCTGATTTTATTTAATCAGCAACCCCTCTCAAAGCTGTCTCACACTAAACTGAAAAGAAGTGATCCAGATGCAGAGAGGGTCAGTCATCATTTTGCAGTATTTTTTCATGCAACACACAGTATGCATGAAGAAGCTGAGATATTTTGAAAACTCCTCTGTGAGGGCTGTTCTGAAGTCATCACCTAAAGTTGCAGCCCAGCGAGATGCTGGCTTAAGACAGACCTCCTGCTTCTGAGTCCTTCATGCTTGGTTGCTCGGTTCGCTCAGAATGGACAGCTGCTGCTCAGGAGGCGGAGTGAAAATCTGATGCTTGATGACCAACTTCTCCCTGCTGACATGTAGCTGTCATGTGTGTGTGTGTGTGTGTGTGTGTGTGTGTGTGTGTGTGTGTGTGTGTGTGTGTGTGTGTGTGTGTGTGTGTGTGTGTGTGTGTGTGTGTGTGTGTGTGTGTGTGTGTGTGTGTGTGTGTGTGTGTGTGTGTGTGTGTGTGTGTGCGTGGCACAGCTCCATGAGCCGCTCAAGTCACCGCGTCTCGTTATTGGCGCTGTTTAAACCAATGTTGTAAAATGACTTCTGCCCAGCCCAGATGTGCTCACTTGTGCACCCGTGAGCCGTGGTTCCGCTGGAACGCGTCTGACCTCTGACAGACGCACTCTGAACTTCAGACCTTCAGCGCGCTGTTAATAGCCTGAATGGGAATCATTTCTTGATTTATTTTGTTCCATCCACAATACTCTGTGTGTGAGGTTTACAATGTCAGAACACCTCATGAGACAGGGTGTTAATTACAATCTGCCAGAATGACTCGCCACCTTCAGATTCCTCCAACCCCGTTAAAAATGATCAAATACGGAACCTATTGGTGTGCACAGGCCAGAGTGCTGAAGCTCGGCGCATTGTTATTATGAAGCTAGGGCACACGTGGAGGACACATGCGCAAAAATATACTTGTTTTCAATTACATTTATTGGGCCCACTTACTTTTTCTTAGGCCCACCCACAAATGAGTTTCTGGCTACGCTAATGGTGACATATGACAGACTTCTCTGAGCTCCGCAGCCATTACACTTTTCACCTCGCGCACCCCCTAGCGGCAGCTCGCGCACCTCCCAGGGGTGCGCGCACCACACTTTAGGTGTGTTGGAGCAGAGAAACAAGATAAACCCTGGTCTAGAGCATCAACTGGTGTTTGTAATTAACCGTTTAATGGCTAAACATGGATTTATATACCAGCAAACTTCAATACAACAGTGATAAAATGATTAATAACATTTTATTATGTTAATGCATGCCCAGATGTTTTCATCCAAAACAACATGTACCAAACATTAGGTACATTATTAGGTAAATGCAAAAAGGAATGATTACGTGAGAAATTATGAGTCCATTAAACATGGTTTCATGTGTTACATCTCTTCCTGTCTCTCACTCTCTCTCTCTCGCTCCCCTCTCTCACCGCCAGTACTATTGCTGTAAGAAGGAGGAGTCTGAGTCGGAGGAGGAGGAGCCGGACTTTGCTGTGACGTCCCGCCTTCCGCCAGTGCACTCCAATCACAACATCGTGGCGGCGACGGCGGCCGCCTCCTCCATCCCCAATGGCCCTGCCATCTTCCCCACCCCCCCACTGGCAAGGAAACTGACGCGTTCGCAGACCTTCTGTCCATCCTGCACGCACTATGACCTGCCTTTCTACCTTCAGCCCCCCCCACCGCAGGTCCACCACCAGCCGGACGGACTGAGGAATGGAGGGGAGCGAATCAGCTACCGCAGCGTCCAGCAGCAGGAGCTGGACCTGCCGGTGCCGGTGAACATTTCTAACTACCGTAAACCCAACCTGGCCCGGTCAGTGACCATGAGGGAGATGTTCACACGCAGCTGCAGCATCAGCACCGATGTTTAGCTGCTTCTTAGGACAGTGTCATCACAGTTAACACGCTCAAGTCAACGACTTCCTACCTGAGATCACTTTGTCCTGCTTCCTCTGGACTCCTCGCTGATAGACTGGCAGATGATGTCAGAAGGGCACAACCAGGAGCGATCTTCTCTTCACAGCTGCAACGAATAATACAGGATTAGGAGAAGTCTTATGTTACGACCAGGTGATCTGCTTGTTCCTCCATCAGCAGATTTCACAGATTATGAAATGTCACTCATGAAGAGTGGAGAAGAAGAAGAGGAGGAGGGCTTTTGCATTTTAGCTGCCATCCACAGACATTTTTCATAGTTTTATCTTAGGCCATAATATTTTAAGATATCAAGGGCTCATGGAAGATTTAAAGTCCTTATTTTCCATGTCTGACAGGGAGAGTATCTGCACACAGTGTTGGTACAGTTCTCTGTTCTAAAAGAGAAAAACACATCCTTGTTGATGCAGGCAGGCTGGTTTAAGTGCTGAAACGGGCCGGGTTCTTGCATCTGTGTGCATAAACTGTACGTGAGTGCATGCATGTGAGCGTGTAACGTAGTGAACTGTTATGCCAAACTTTTATTTCGTTTTCACTTCTGAGTGACCCATGTGCTATTTCAGAGAATTGCAAAGACAACCAATGGAATTACTTATTATTGTTTCACAACTGTTTACCAGTCAGACTTAAAGCAGTCAAAGGTGACAAACGGTGTTAGAGCAGCTTATTCAAACTTTCACCTTTGTTATGGTTCTTCACTGAATTCTGTATTTCCTGTGTTGTATCTGACTGGTCTGGCTAAAGACTCACCCTTAAAGACACGTGTATAAATATTTAACTGGCCATAACGTCTCTTTCCTCTATATCAACTCGGTGGACTGAGGAAAATGTGTCCACCCTCAGAGGTATTCCGAGAGATCCAGCTCGGGATTGATTTTATTTTCTGCACACTGGCTGACCAGCCTGACTGGAGGAGCGGTGGCTGGGCTTTTATGGGAAAACAGTCAATGAGTGAAATTATGTACTGCTGATATCTAGAGACAGCGCTGGTAGTTGTGTGGAGAGGGGGTTGAAGCTGATTAAAATGTCCCTTTTTTAAGCCCCACCCCCATCATCTCCCTTGGACATGCTCTTGTACCCTGCTCTGTTTTTGTCTCTTTGTAGATTTGACCAACAACAGCCACGTTCATTTGTTTTCCTGAAAGGTGAACAAGTACTTTGTTTTGTTCTGAGATGAACCAGTAATCCAAAACAACACACACAGTTCTGTAAAGAGAACATCATGACAATCCCAGCTCTGTATTGTTATATTAAAGTGACTTTTCTGTCATTTTGAAGTTTGTTTTTGTAAACGTTATAATTATTGCCAAGCATTACCTCCCTGAGCAGCCTCTGTTTGAAGAAACAGCATTTACATCACATGGACGAACTAGCTAATGCTTAGCCCATATGCAGCCAACTGTATACGGACCGCTTCCTTTTTAAAGCACCTCCAATGTCAAGTGTATTTTACCTTTGCAGTTTTCCATTAGATTACCTGAAACTAGCATGATATGCTATAATATCATAGTTTGGTAGCATAATATATTTTTGCTAGCAACATTTTTTAATTAAGTCACAGTTTCCTAGCATAGCAAAGGAAGAATTACAGAGTCCTGTCATCTATAAATAAATCTACAACGACTCTTGTAAAGCAAAGTGTGTTTGTTTTTAATATAAGAAAGGATGTTAAATGGATACTTAGTACATTTTTAATATTTTTAAATCATTTTCTTGAGCCAGTATGTGCTAAAATGACCCTTTACATGGTTAATGAAAGTCCACCCAGCCCCTATCACCACCTGTGGTCAGAAAATGCCCCTTTTTCCACTCTGCTGGGACATAGAAAATATTGAGCTGACATGCCTGGCACTGCAGTGTGTTTCCAGCACATTTCCTGCATGTTTTAGATCTGATGAGTTTAATTTAGTGATGAATCACTCCCGTAGACACTAATGAAGGCCGGGGAGATGTTTCAGCTGTTAAACCAACACATTCTCACTCCCAGCATGTCAAAAACAAACGCTTGGTCAGCCACACTCCACGCCAGACCCTTGACGCCAAAAGTGCCCTTTTTCGTCACTTATGTGCGAAAAAGGTTTTTTCCCTTTTCTGACTGCAGATTCCAATGCAGCGTTACACTGACGCAATGGGACGTCTGCAGCCAGGGCACCAAACCAGCTCATTGTACCTCACCCTAACCTTATCCTCTTATTTAACCTTCCCCTCACCCCTATCCTAACCTTAACCATCTTGCTAGCTAACACGTTAGTGATGTGTCGGTCTCTCTAAAAGCCGGCTCTTTGAAGTGAACGGCGGGATCCGCCTCATCACTAGTCGGGTTTGGACCGAGGCAACGCAAGGGGGAGGTTTCAACCACCAAGGTGGAGGTTAAAAGTAGAGGGTATTTGTAACCTCCCCTCGCCAGATGGTATGTTCTAATGTTCCCCTTGGGTGGCAAATACGAAAATTCACAGTCAGAATGCATGGGAAACAAACGCTTGATTACAGTGAGAGTAACGTTTTAGGTAGCAAGAGGGTTAAGGTTAGGATGAGGGAGAGGGGAAGGTTATAAATAGTGAAACGTTAAGGTTTAGGTGCGGTTAAATGAGCTGGTTCGGTGCTGCATCAGGGGATATCCCATCGCGTCAGTTTTACGCTGCATTGGGATCTGCAGTCAGAAAAGGGAAAAACCCCTTTTCGCACATAAGTGACGAAAAAGGGCACTTTTGGCGTCAGGAGTCTGACGCAGAGGGTGGCTGACCAAGCGTTTGTTTTTGACGCGCTGGGAGTGAAAATGTGTTGTAGTTATGACTCGCAGTGAGGAACTAGGTTTTGCTTTCTGTTCTACAAACGAACACTAGGGGGTGCTAAAAATGCCTACATTGCCTAGTTCCCCTTACTTGTTGATTTCAAATACAGGATGATTGCTTGTTTTAAGATAATTTGAAACACATTTTGTAAATAACTTAATATAATGATGGTGTAAAAAATGTTACGTGATAATGGGGAAATCCAGCAAATAGAAGCTACTTTATTACAGAAGAAATCATCTTTCCTGTGCTCGGACTAGCCATTAACTTATCACTCCATAAAGTACGACTGTTACTTCTACAGAGGCCAAAGCTGTCAGCAATGAGAAACACCAGGATTACTCATGAAACTTTTACACAGAAGCACACTTCAAAAAACACAAAAGTCCCTTTATCCACCACCTTAGCTTGATACAAAATCCGACTATTTTTATTTTAAGCCTAAAATAATTTTTGCAACCATCAAACTGCCCTTTAGAAATTCAAACTTACATTTTTCTCTACTTTTTTCTCAATGCAGAGCATCTCACAAGAGCTAAGTCCACATTGTCACACACAGAAACACACAAAGCCACATATAATCATTTTTAATGTTCTTTTTTTGGAAACTGAAGCTATTTGATGGCTGCACAGTAACTGTAGTGCCATAAATAATTATAAGAGAAATGTATTATTAAGATTATTATTACTATTGTAAGTGTTTATTCAAATAAGATGTGGTTTTCTGTTCAGGTATTTGAATTACTTGTTTTATTTTATGATCCAGCTGTTTTTCAGACTCAGTCCAGTACAGCAGAGATGTTTCTGTTCCTGTTTCAAATATAATATTTAACCAACAGACACATTGTTGATAATAAAATAGTGTTAAAGCTCTTCTGGCCTTGGTTATTGATTTTCTTCTTCAGTGTTGTTATATTCTGATCTGGAGTCAGATAATGAATGAGTAGACTTTGTTATCCCTGCACAGACAGCACGAGCACTAATACGTGAATACTCAAATTCACTGGGGTCAGCATAAGACAGGAGGGTTGTTACCTGAGCCTTAAAAATATTTTTCAAACACAAATTTAATATTAATACAACTCAGAATGCTGCATTAGCTGATCAGAAATGATGGTGTGTGCTGAAATCAACCCTAAAACAAGACCATAAACACCATTCAAACAGCAGATTATCAGTTTAGTTACTCGTTTATTTCATTGCATCAGACACTTGTTTTTGAATTACTGCATGTTGTCATGTTCTGTGTCCCTTTGTTCCCCAGCCCCTCCAGTTCCCACTCCAGGTTCTCCTTTTGTGTTTCATAGCGCCCTCATGTGCCCTTTGTCTGCGTCTCATTTATGTGTCTCCTGTGTTCCTTTAGTCTTCTCCAGTCACCCCTCTGCAGCCAGTCATCCTCTGCAGTGTTTATTATTTCAGCTTTTCATGTTATTAGTCTCTTTAATATGTTTTGTCCCACCGGTCTTTGTAGTTCTCCTTCCCTTTAGAATTTTTGTTATATGGTTGCTTTTCTGTTTTTAGGTTCACTCTTAGGTCATGTTAGTTTCTTCCCTAATTAGTCATTGCTTTCACCTGCTCATGAAAGAGCTTCTGTTTGCCCTTTTTTGCCAGCGTTTGCTTTTGGATTTATGCCCAGCCTCCTAAATAAAAGGATTTTTACTTCATATCCACTTCTCCCTCGTGTCATCCTGGGTTACTGCATTTTGGGTCCAAACCATCCTCCCAACGTGACACATGTAAATTCACATTTTATGTTTTTTAAAACTATATAACAGCGTTGCTTACATTTTCAATCTTTACGTCATGTTTGCGCATTTGCATTAAATGTGGGGAAGTTGCTACACATCTGTGCATGGTGAATTAGTTTGGAAGATCACATGTTAACTTTACATATTTAGAAAAATGTTCCTATTGTGCTCATTTGTTCTGTTATTTTGTTTGTCAAAGGAGTTCACACATATTTTCTGAACAGGACTCCGCTCAGCCAAATATCTTCTGGATGCTTAATGTGAGCATATGGATTCAACTAGAATAAATCTTCATAGGTTACTGGGCATTATTTGATGAATTGCTAAGATGCTTTTTATTTTTGAGCGTTAAAAATAAATTTGACCAGATTTGTTGGAGTCTCTGAAAGGAAATGTGGAAAAGTCCTGCATTTGGATGAAAACAGCTTATATTAGACATGTAACAGGTTTAATTAATAACTGTTTGCTTATTTTAACCCATAAGGGAAAATTATGAGAACCTGAAAGAAAAGTATGAGGGGAAATCTTAGGCAATTGATCCATTTCTTTTACTTTTAAATTTTTGACTTTGAGAAAAAAACAATAATTTTCTCAATCCTTAAAGAACCTATTGTATTTGTTTTAATTGTCATTTTTTATTTCTTTTGTAATTTTTCTCATCTGATCTAGTTTTGTTTTATCAGAGCTTGAAATGCCAACAATTCTGTTTTTTACGACTTAAAGTCAGGGGCACCGCTTTTATTTCAGTGCCCAAAACAAATTCCTTCAGAAATAAGAAAGCCTTTTCATCTGCTCATACGTCATTAACTAAAGAGGGAATAAATGTGTGACTGTTTTAAATGAAACAAAACAAACAAACATGTTATTGTCTCTCTGGGCTTCTGAAGGAAGCTATTTTCTCTAAATATTTCAGTTGTCACTGTGAGAATAAATCAGAATTTCATTGATGGTTTTGTTTACAGTAAAAAAAATTCCATAAAAAATACATTATTAGTATAAAGAAAAACAACAGAAATGACATCTGACGCAAGGCAACAAGGTGAGCGTTGTGAGGACCCGTTTGTCTGGATGGGACGCCTGAGAACAAGAACATGAGCCTGAGAGGTAAAGGTGAAAACTTTATTGTGACATTAAACCAGAAACTAAATGAGTCAAAGGGGCTGTAGTGTTAATTAATAAAACAATTTCAGAGAGGAAATTATAAGAAGTATGAGTCAGAGCTAATGAATAAGAAACAGAACAGATGGAGGTAGAGCAACAAAGACTTTTTTGTTGCAGACACACACAGACATTTATGCAATAACACTGCTACACACACACACACACACACACACACACACACACACACACACACACACACACACACACACACATGTGTATATATAACAAAAACTTTGAGATTATCATAAATCCCCTCTTATGTGAAAATATCTGGGTTTTTATTTCTGGATGACTTGAAAGTGCTGCAGAAGGAAGCGTTGTGCCACAAACAGCAGCTATTCTTATATCAGTCACATGTAATGGTCCATAGAGGAGGACAGATGGATGATAATCAATTGTTTTAGATTTAGAGTCGTTCTTTTCAGGTCCAGAACATAAATTCAGCATGTTGGGTCAGAAAATCAGAGAACTGAAAAACCACTTTTCAAGTGATCAAAGATGCCGCTCTGCTGTTGACTTTACTGTAAAACCATGGTTGACCACATGATCAACCAAAGTGGCTGATCTCATCAGAGATTATGGTCCTTGGTCTTCCTCGTCCTCCCCGTCCTCCTCCTCTTACTCTCACTCCTCAGGCTCTGTCTCTGTTTCCAAAGTTGGCATCCATTGCTCCAACACAGGAGAGCTCACCTGTTGCCCTTTTATGCTAAAGCTCTGATTGCTGATTGTAAACCTGTGTGACGGGTGTTTGGCCTTGTAATGAGTCAGTGTGCATATTTGAATAGCAGTGTGTTTCCCTTGAAAACAAGATATTTTCTGAATGAAAATTGTACCAACAGCAGAGAATTGTGTGTAGTGTTTTGAGAAAAGTGTGTTTTAGATTTGCAATTTGAGTGCAAAGCAGGAATTGTGCTTGTAGTTTAGCAGAATTGGGTAAGGGGGTTGGTGAATTGGTAACATGTTGTGGTCATTGTGTCTCAAGTACCAGAAAATGTGTGTAAACAATTGAGAAAAACTGTAAATGATAAATGACCCGTACTTGTATAGCGCCTCTCAGAGTAAGGACTCCAAAGCGCTTTACATCTACAGTGTAATATGTATACTACATCTACACTGAACTACACAATTTTGCCAGACACTGTTCTTCAGGTAGTTTTACGAATGGATGGAGAGGAGATCCAGCATGAGTTCATTTATGTAGATGAGGCTGGGTTCAACCTGACGAGAACACGAAGGAGGGGAAGAAACATCATTGGCCACAGGGCTATAGTCAATGTCCCAGGGCAACGTGGGGGAAATATAACACTGTGCAGCCGTTACACAGAATGGGGTCCTCCACCGCCATGCCCATATGGGCCCTTACAACACAGCACTCTTACTTACATTCATGGACCAACGTAGCAGCAGCAAATCAAATCGATCATATGCAATACATTGTTGTCTGGGACAATGTGTCTTTCCATCGCTGTGCTCTGGTTCAGAACTGGTTTCAGCAACATCCACATTTCACCGTCCTATATCTTCCACCATACTCTCCATTCCTCAACCCTATAGAAGAGTTTTTCTCTGCATGGCGGTGGAAGGTATATGATCTCCGTCTCCAGGCTGAGGTACCCCTCATCCAAGCCATGGAGGAGACCTGTGACCAGATGGAGGTAGCAGCAATACAAGGATGGATTTGACATTCACGACGTTTCTCTCCAAGGTGTCTTGCTAATGTAAACGTTGCCTGCAATGTTGATGAAATTCTCTGGCCAGACCCAGCTAGGCGAAGAGAAAACGTCAAGTGTTTGTTTGTTTTTTGGTAACAGTAAACTTACAGTACAATACGTAAAGTGACATGTTGTTACAGTACTATGAATCTCCATGTCAACATTTTGGGCATGTTGAGAAATAAATGAGTTTCTTCAGTGTGCAACATTGGTCTTGTGTAGTGTTTGGTGGATTTACTTTATATTTGTACTTTGTTGATGGTAGCCTGCTCTAATCACAGGGAAGTAGAAGTGCTAAAAGTGTTTTAGGTTTCTCACAGCAGAGTGTAACTCGTGCAAGCAGAGTATGGTAAAAGTGAAACGTGTGTTTCCTATGGTAAAAAAGTGTGGTTTTTAAACACAAGTGTATAGTTTTTACAGGAGTGTTTAATTATGCAAAGGATCTGTAGTGTTTTGCTAATTGGGTGTGTGGTTGTGATAATTGTGTGTACTGTTTAGAAAACGCTGGCCCTGTTTTGAAAATTGTGCTTATCAATCCAAAAAAAAACTGTAATGAACACATTTTAGGGTTTCTTGTAACTATTCGCATTAGTTCCAGGAAAAGAGCCTAAATTAGAGCTGCTAGAACAAGAAAGCCTCCAACTGCACGTCCCCTAGATGTAAAGCGGACGTGTTGGTCACCACGCTCCTCACCTCACCTCCACTTCACCAACCAGCAGCAGCATGCTAACGCTTTCTCACTCTTACCTCTTATTTTTTTATGATCCATAGATGCAGTTCACCAGCAGCGTTGGTGAAGAAATGGCCAGCTGGGTTCTCATGAATTATAAAGATGAAGTACAGTGGGAGGCTTTCTAGCTAGGACAAGTGATGCTGCTGAGCTGATCCCATGCACCTGTAGCTGCATGCTCTGCAGTATGTAGACTTTCATCTTCATTTCACCCCTCATGTTAGCGTGGTAGATGGACTCTAAGATCCTGGTTTCACTCTCTAACCTCAAGCTTCTTTCAGTCTGATTGGTTTTGGAAACGACAACGTAATGCCCAAGTGTTTAAACCAGGGGTGTCAAACTCATTTTAGCTCAGGGGCCACATTGAGGGAAATCTAGTCCCAAGTGGGCCGGACAGATTGTTTTCTTTGTTTTAATACAATCAATATAAAACAAGGCTGGAGCCTGAGGACAATGTATCCAAAATAGTACAAGTACAACACCTGAAGTGTACTTCAAAATTTGAATAAAATAAAAAATAAAATAAAAAAGACATTCCTTTGTGATTCAAAGAGCTTACAGATCACATGGCTAGATCAGTTTCATGCATCACTTAAAGTATATTTGACTCATTTTACTTCACATCTTTTAGCTTTCACCAGCACATCAATATCAGAAGTCACATCCTGAGTGGCAGCCAACTTCAGGATGTGATTCAAGTTCTTGTGTGAGCCTTGAGCGCAGCTTTGTTTTATTTATACTCATTACAGAGAAAACTTGCTCACAAAGATAAGTTTATTTTCACTCTACATTGTAAAGTATGAAAATAAAGTTTACACAACCATCCAGCAGGCCGGATTTAACCCATTTGTGGGCCGGATCCGGCCCGCGGGCCGTATGTATATTTGACACCCCTGGTTTAAACGGAAATAAAAATATTAGTGTAGAATTCAAGGTGACTTTTTAATCTATGGTTGATAAAACATGTTTATGAAGTTCTTTGCACAAAACCCTTCTCACATAAAGTGATTTCAGCAGTTTTTTTTTTTTTTTGATGTTTTGAGTACCTTGAAAAATGAGCTGTTTCAGGGCTCTGTCGCTTTAAAGTGCAAGTCACCCCCTGACCAGAGTCTTCCTCCACTCACACTTCCTGTTTGATAAATGCACCTAGAGGAGGCGTTGCCTAGTGGACCAAGAGAACAGCACTAAGGCAGTGACTGAAAGCATCTTCTAACCCCCCACCCAACCCCATGCACTCTCTGAGTTCCTCAATTGGAGAAATGAGCAATTAACAAGCAAACACACATGCACACACACACACACACACACACACACACACACACACACACACACACACAGACATTCTGCTCAGTCGGAGGAGCAGAGAAACAGCAGTACGCTTGAGGATTTTCTTTCCACCTCATTCACAAGAAGAAGAAGGAGGATGTTGTTTGAAAGAGGCAAGCCCCTCTTAGCCACATTTTTTCATAGGCTCATGATTGCCCGAGCAGTTGGAGGTGTGGTTGAATCTCTGCAGCGCTCTAGTGCAGTGCAGTACCATAACACGGTACCAGCAATGTTACTGTAGGTACCTCTTAGTCATTAGCAACGGCTGATTCAAATTCAGTTCAATGTAGCACAGAGTTTTAACCTGAAGAGAGCTCAATAATGATGGTTTTAGGTTACTTTTTAAAATTTTAAATAAGATTTACTAAAATGCCTAAAAAATTACTACACATGTCTACATCACTATTAGACACTCGTTTATACAATTCATCAGCAAAAAAAGATTGATTCAGAGGTGACTTGCTCTTTATTGGTCCTCCAGCTTCATTGGCTGCCAGTCAACTTCAGGGTTCATTTCAAGATCTTGGTTCTGGTCTTTAGGGCCTTACATGGACAAGCACCACCATACATTGGTGATCTTCTCAGTCCTTACACCCCCAGCAGGTTCCTGAGGTCCAGTGATCAAAGCCTGCTGGTTGCACTAAGCTAAAGTCCAAGGGTGACCTCCAGACTCTGAAACTCTCCCCACTGAGCGTGAGATCAGTGGTCTTAAAAAAGCAGCTGAAAACTCAGTTGTTGCAGGCTTGCGTGACCTTCATCACTGCTCTCTCCTTATTCAGCACTTTCTACCAATTCCACCTTTTGATTACCACTTTCCTACTCATTTTCTCATTCCCTTTCCTCACATTTTTTATCTCAATTTTGAATTTTTCTAATTTTTACTATATTTTCAATCATTTTTAATCATTTTAGTTTTTCTTTTATTTATTAGTTTTTTGTTCTTGTGATGTGCCTCATGAGTTTTATTTTGAGAGGCGCTATATAAAACATTGTTTCTTCTCGTTGTTCTTCTTCCCACCTGGGTCAGCACAGACCTGGGGCCTTATTTATCAAGCTTGCTTACGCACAAAACGGGGTCGGAAAACTGCATAAGCAACTTTCCGCGCAAACTTTGGGATTCGTCAAAGAAAACTTAGCGGAAAAATGTGCGCAACTTTAAGTTGACTAAGGATCTTGCTTACGCACATTTTCGATATGGAGAGCACCTTCAGTGCTGCTGCTGAGAAGGATAAAATTATGAAATCCTGCAGCATTATCACTTGTACTGCTTCATTTTCACACAGAACAAGACCCCCCACATGCACACACACGCGCACACACACATATGCGCAGACTCTCACACACACACACACACACACACACAGGCGCACACACACACACACACACACAGCCTGAAACGCAGAATACGGAATGCAGAATATCAGCAGGGGGTTCAGATTGAGACAGAATGGCATGCGTCTGTGACAGTGTGTGTCCTGTCACTGTGACCCAATTGATCATGCGCCCTGGCTAGTTTAACAGGGGAGATCTCCGTTGGGCTGACTGGTTAGCGCACGTGACTTTCACCTGGGAGTCTGGGAGTTGAATCCCGATTGGACCATTTTTTTCTGTATCCGCCACAGATCTCTCTGAAGAATTCACAACATTGACGGCTTCAGCAACGCTGTGCCACTCCGTGGATTTTCTCTTATTTGTTTTGCAAAAGCACTTCCTTTCATTTCTCCCCCTCACCCACAGGTATCTCAATTTCTGCTTCTGTGAAATTGAGCTTCCTTGATCTGCCTTTGATCTACGGTTGCCATGTCATTGGTGGCGCGCTGCAACAGCCGGCTTATCTATATGCATGGGATCTGCAAGGCACTTTGTATTGACTATTTATGGCAGTAAGAGAAAACTGACCCAGGAGCGAGCACATACGACGGACTCACGCTAAGGCTTCGCCAGAATGATTGAGTTATGCGGACCAATGGTTGACGTGATCCACCCGGAAGTAAAAGATCGATTGCTATACCTTTAATTTACAAATAATTTATTACATGTCCACCTCAGTGGACAGCGTGCATTCTGAACATGAAATATGTTGGCTTGACTTACAGAAGTCCAAATGGAGGGGCTCACATGCAATGAAGTCTTCAACAGCTGTGCTTAATAGCAAAAATAAATAAATAACAATTTTGAGTACCTGTCCACTGTAGTGACCATTACGCATCAAAGGGTTAAGTCTCCCACACATGACTGCATGCAGGAGCCATTACCGCTCCATGTGTGTAACAGTGCGATTTCTTCGAGGGGGAAAAGCTGTGCCTCTTGTCTGAATTTTTCATCCACCACACTTTCTGTTGCTGTATAACAACTAATAAATAAACAATGAATCCAGAGGACATAAGGATGGACTAGATTTTATGCCCTCTGTACCACAGCATCATTTTCTGGCTTCACCGCATCTTTTCATCTCTATCAAGTCTTTTTTTTTTGTTAGCGTTTTTGAGGCCAGTAAATGAACCTAGATTGTTTTTAGCTGCAGTGTTTAGTCAGAAAAAGGTTATTTCTTATTCATTTGTGAAATGACTGACCTTTTATCCTTGCCCACTGATCACTGATCAAACTTTTGAAGCACTTTAAGAATTTTAATGATGGCCCATCCAGAGAACATATATTAGCAATTGAATAAATACCACATGATTACTGAGATTAGATTGTGTAATATTCTTCTCAGTCGAAAGTGCGTGGGATAATTGAGTGTGGAAAATCTGTTTTTAGGATATTTGTCGCCATCTGGTGGAAATTGTGCAAAACGATTTATTTATTTATGTTGGTTGGTTCGTTTATATAGTTTTTTCATTAAGTTAAAAACCACTGCTTTTTTGCCTTATTATTGAAAAATAGATTATAAATATTCATATGTTATAGCCAATAGCCAATAAAAGTAAAGTAGCCAATAAAACGAAACAATTTGACAACACCGCTCGATTTAACTGTGAGGGGTTTATGTTTGTGTATATTGTTCATGGATACAGGATTCGTGGGGAGGGCGGGGGACAGACATAATATACGTAACTATATTATATCGGAGGAACATCTATGGAAAAACTGGAAATATGAGGAGACTAAGCGACTGTTTGTTGCCATGGTAACTTCTTTCATTAAACCCCGCCTCTTGGTTCCAACATCCAATCAAATCTCTGTTTACTGCTAGCCGCGAGCTGCAAATGTGTTGTGTTCATCTTTTCGTGTTGTTGTAGCTCAACGAATGTAGAAGCAACAGCGAAGGCAACATGAGCACGGAGCGGTGTGTCGAAACCAGGTGTGGTGTAAATGGTTGTGGTGTAAGTAGTTCAAATCATTTACCACCGGAGAAAAGCGACACGACGAACGAAACACTGAAGAGGTAACTAGCTGTTAGCTTAGCTTCTGAAGAGGCTAACTTTACTAACGTCAAGCACCGCGGTCAAGTGAGCCGCGCCTCTACTAACAAAACTGCAATAAGTTTTATTTTAAAGCCAAGCTTTAATAGTTTGTGTGACAAAAGTCGTGAAATAAATACTATTTAGTACAGACGTCGTTACACATTTTGTTTTGTTTTTTGCATGAGCTGTTTGCAGATCAATCTTTTTTGATTGATGAGACCAAATGCAAAAGAGTGGATTACTTTATTATAGCTGTAGTTTTTAGCAAGGCAAACTACTATTTGAGGTTTTCTGGTTTCTGCTGATTAAGACTACTTTAAAACATTTAAAGAAAGTTCAAATAAAGGTACTATGTTTATCAAATCTGTCTCACAAATTTTAGGCTTGATCTGTGTTTTGAGTTTCGTTGTAAACCCATTTAAATCAGCATTTCTGTATAAAACCTGTCCAGACTCTAACTAATAGCCTATTTTCTTTTTTTTTTTCCCCTAGAACTCCATTTACCAAATTTAAGAAGGTTCACTCACACTTCAAATCACCAGTGAGTACCTTACTGTCTGCAACTCACACACATGCCACAAGCCTGTGTGGGTTATTTTCATGCCGTGCACTTTTGTATTGATTTTACTTTTGTATGTAACAGGTTCAGGTCACCGAAACTGCTAAAGTTGGCCCTGAGGAAGAGGTGGCAGAGCTTCAACTAAAAAAAGAACAACTGGATTTAGAGATTGCACAGCTGGAAGCAGAGTCAGTACAGCTGTGTTTGTCTTTTTTAATTGTTAACCTTGAGTTTCAGCCTTCGCTGTACAGAGATAAAGTGTCTTTAAAAAGTTATGGAACATAGAATCAGTAGATGCATTCCTTAAAAAAAGATTTATATTTTTCCTCTGTAATCTTTTTTTAGAAGTTTGTTTCTGTGCTTATGTAGACAAATCTGTATAAAGTTGTCTTTTGTATGACTACAGCATTACCTCTGTTTTTCAGAGGCTATAGAGTTGAAGAGCTAGAGCACCACATTGATAAACTGCATGAATACAACGACATCAAAGACATTGGACAGTCACTCCTAGGTCGTATTGGTAAGAGATAGACAAACTTTTATTTCATAATTTTAAAGTTTGTATGTTTTGGTTATAGCGTCCCAGTTGTATCTGGTAAGCAGTCAAACATGGCGTTAAATTAAATTTTTAAAAAGTTGGCTTTAGTTGAGCAGTGATTTAAGACGTGATGCTAACAAAACATACGTCTTCATCAGTATTCGTATCGCCTCAGAATTTTGTTTTGAGGGTCGTTACAACTCAATTCTGTTTTGAATTTGTTTCAACATCACAAATTATCCACATGAAAGCACAAATGCAGCAGGTGACACGTTATCACCTCTTTTTCATTTAATGGGAAACTATACAAACAATTAAAATTGGTTTAAATAAGATTTTACAATACTGTGGAAACATTTATTGAATTTAATCTCTTACATTTCTAGATGGGTGCCATTAAAACACATTAAGATACATGATAGTGGACAAAAGTGATGGGAGTGTACTCATGAAACCTGACACAAAGCTGCTGATCACAGGGGAAAAAAATGCAAATTACGCATGATAGGCAGGCGTTGCTTACTCAGACTTGGTTAGAGGTTCTATGTGTGACCAGTAGAGAGCAACAAAGAGGCATCTTCGCTTTCTGTTGGCCTCATATATATATATATATATATATATATATATATATATATATATATATATATATATATATATATATATATATTAGGGATGAACAATTTATCGGTATCAGCCGATGTTAGTCATTTTTTAACATATCGGTATCGGTCCGATAAATAAAACCGGGCTGATATTAACAACCGATATTTTTTCCATCTTGTCTCTGTTTGTTTGTCTGTTTCAGAGGTTGAGGGGGTGATGTGTAATTGTCAAGTCATGTGACAGTGATTGTAATCGTCTCAGAAGCGTAAATGTGTGTACATAATAATGTTTATGTATTTAGCAGACGCCTTTGTCCAAAGCGACTTCTAAGTGATAATCGGCATATTGCCCAACAATAACAACAACAACTTGACATCAATCATGGAGAGTAGGGAACAAGAAGTGGACAGTAGAGAGGGGGGACGGGTGCAGGGAGGGTGCTAGTTTAAAAGATGCTCTCTGAAGAGCAGGGTCTTCAGGAGTTTCTTGAAAATTGAAAAGGAAGCCCCTGTTCTGGTAGTGTTTGGTAGGTCATTCCACATTTGTGGAACGATGCATGAGAAGAGTCTGGATTGTCCTGAGCGTGGTGTAGGCACTGCTAGCTGATGATCCTGTGATGACCGGAGCAGCCGGGCCGAGACGTAAGCCTTTGCAAGAGTATTCAGGTAGATGGGAGCCGTAAATAATGTTAATTTGGCTATAATGATTTTCATTTTATACAAAATTGCTGATTTTAGAAGTATTAATGTCAGTATGTCGGTATCAGCTAATATCGGTTATTGGCCATAACGGTGATCTTTATATCAGATATCGGTATCGGCCCAAAAATTTCATATCGGTGCATCAGTAGTGGTTTAGCTATTTAAATGATAACTGAGTTGAAGAAGCAACCTGTTATTGTAATGGTTGCAGGGATATTTTGTTTTGGTCTAATTTACTCAAATGATGGGTTAAAATTATGTTTGTACAATAAGTAAAGCACAACACAGCCCAACAGTAATTTATATTGTGTGTTGCAACTCAACTTTATTTGAGGAAGAACAGAAATTTTTAACTTTCACTCTATTAGGAAAGTCATGGTGAATCATGACCAAGTTAATTTAACTCATGACACCCCCTCCCCCTTGTCTGCTTATATTTTGTAGGTTTGTGATTATTTTACTGTTTAATTTGAATCCTATTATTATTTTGCTGAAGTGATGTGTGTATGTGTGTATTTATATGTTTTTTTTTCTTTTAAGATTGCAATCTTTGGTTTCTCAGTACAATGAAAAGTAGAGATGATAGTGAACAGAGGTGGCATTTCCCCTCTTGCACAATGAGTCTTTCACATCACTCACACTCAGACAATAACAGTCTCTGTCCACGCCTAAGGATATATTCATACAATCACACATGCAGTCAAATGCAAACACACCATCTTCTTCTCTCCCCCTTCTATGTCCCTTTGCCTTGCACAAACACACACTCTCACAAAGAGTTTGCACTTGGACACTAAGGACTGTTGTACTGTTGGGGGGGGGGGGCATTGGTGGGCGGATTGTGCTGTGATGGCCTTTATTACCCCCTAAAGACAACTGTCCATTTGTCCCTGATCATGCCTGTCTGCAAGAAATAAATCCAGTATATTTGAGTATGCTCTTCAACTCAGATTTTCTAACGATTTTACTTGTAATTAGTTTTCTACTAAGAAACAAGACAATCACAAACACAATTCCTCATTTCTCGTAAAAGGTCCAACACACTTGCTCATAATTTAAGTAAAATGGTGTACTATAAGCTGAAGTTTACCTGATTTTAGCCTACCCAATACATGCCCAATTTGATAAAACAAATACTGACAACAGAAGAGAGCTATACAGTGCAAACATTTTTAAAATTCCTATTCACATCAGATAGTTTAACCTGGTATCGTGGCAAAGGCTGCATTCCATTTCTGGAGGTTTGCATGTAAAAGAAAACTTTCAAGCTGAAATTCCCTTAATGGAATGCAGCCTATTAGAGCTCCGCGAGTTGACGTCACTTCTCCCGGCATGCAGCAGTTCAAATCGAATGGCGCCATCTTGGCAGGCAGTTGCCCGCAGTTAGACTATTGTTCTTTGCAGAAAACCCAAACTAGAGATGGGAAATATGGTAAATAACTGTTGTGCCCCAGGATGCCATAACAGGCACGGATGAGATAAGGGAAGAGCCAAAATCCCCAAGATCCGGAACACGGCAAACTTTGGATCGTCACAATAAAATGCACTAGTGACCAGGCTACAATGAGACTGTGGGATTCCAGGCAGGGTATCCGCGGAGTCTTGAAAAGTATTAAAAGGTGATAAATCAATTTTGGAAAAATTAAGACCCTTAAAAAGTATTAAAAAGTCTTATCACGGCTTTATGAAGTCTTAAATTTAGAGATTTTTTTCTGAATTAGATAGCCAACTGTTTGTTTTAGTTTTTTTTAACGAACCGAGGGAGGGAGCATAAAAAGATAAAAAAATATATATACTACGCTGTTGTGGGTGCATTAGTAATTTTTCTCTCAGAGCACCAGGGCGGACGGGGTGGAAGCTCAAAAGTGCAAAGAACGCTCTGGTGTTCCCGGTGCATATTACGAACGCACCTAAATGTTAAGACGGAAGAGAATGTTGGTGAACGTGAACGCACAATGAGAATGGGAAAGTGCAAGTTTGCAGCGTCCTGGCTGGATATCCCAGATTTCAAAGAATGGCTGCAGCCAGTCGAAGGGAACGTGAGGGAGGCATACTGTACGATATGCAAGAAGAAAATAAGTATCGTGTCAATGGGCATAAACTCCTTAACTTATTCACTGCCAGCCGTTTCCTGATCACTAACGGCCTTCGCTGCCAGCGTTTCTCACCATTTTTACTGTTTTTTTAAGAGTCACAGAACGTTGCGCGCTAGCATGATGTCGATGCCAAAACAACCAAAACAAAGAGGAGACTCACCTCTTACATCAGGAAGAGTCCGCGTGTTTCAAGCGTTATCCGTTCTTTCATAATCCGTTGTCGAATTGTGATCGGCAGACGCTTTTCCGGTTCGCGCCTCACTTTTTTTTACAGGAACGGCCCAAAACGATCTCCAAACACATGGATGTGTTGCTTCCTGATCATGTGATCTGTGATGTATATGGATGAAGATCGCCTTCAGGGCTGAGATGTTTGTTCTCTCAGCGCGGGGGCTCGTTCTGATGCTCAAACAGTTAAAAAAATGCAAATGACGACTTTAGTCGTCAATGGCAGTGAATGAGTTAAAGTCGCACGTGTTGTGCTAGCCACAAGGCTGCTGCTAGCCGCAGAAAGCAGCAGCTATCTATCGCTAGCTTCTGTGGAAATCGGGTTGAACCACCACAACATAGTCCCAACGTCGCTCCACCATCGACAGTCGCACCTAAAGCCACAGCTACGAGCCGGGCTGTCTCTACTTCCTCATCGTCTGCAGCCGATATCAGAGTGGCTCTGGGCAGCACAGCGATGCTGCATGCTGAGGTGTTATGGTACCTCCACACAGCGGAAAAACACCATTCCCTGAACTCAAATGAAAACTTGGCTGAAGTTTTCAAGGCTATGTTTCCAGATTTGGACATAGCGAAGTCGTTCACTTGTGGAAAGGACAAAACTGGATACATCATGCGATTCGGGTTAGCACCACACTTCAAGCAGGAGCTCGTCGACACCATCAACAAGGCTGGCCAGTTTGTGTTAATGTTTGACGAGTCGCTCAACCAGTCAACAAAAACCAAACAGCTGGATGTCCACATTCGATTCTGGGAGGATGACTGTGTCCAATCCAGGTACCTCCTGTTGTGGAAAGTCAGCACAAATATTCAGTGAAAACTTTAAAAAGCTATTTAAACCTTCATTATTTTACATTGGGCCTGTCTATATTTATAAAATCAGTTGATGGTTTAAAGTAACTGTAGCTAAAGTTACTCAGAGTCACGGTAGAAGGTCCAGCCTGAGTTGAGCTTGGTAACTGGAGAGGAACTGAGAAACAGCATTAAACTTTTTGCTGTTTGCTTGTTCAAGTTTAATTCAAATAGAATAAATAAGACATCAATTATATAATAAGTGTATGTATATTTAACAGTCATGTTAGAGATAAAAGGCAGAATAGATAAAAAAAACATTTTAACTTTATCTGGTTACATTGAAGCTTCACGTCCTACAGTGAGTAGACTCTGTCCCACATTTGGTGAGTTTGGATCTGGTCATCCATGATTACAGTCTTTTGGAATATTTGCAGATGTTTTTATGTTTGGTGTTTTGTGAATTAGTTTCATAATAATAGTTTATTATATGATGATCCCTAGTCATTATCTGATTAGTTATTTCGGTTTATTATATTTAGCTCTCTTGAACAGTAGGACTGGTAGAAAATTGCTTGCATTTTGCAAAAACATCACAAAGAATTTTTTTTAATATTCTCAATAAAATAAAAGTATATAAATGCCAGAGGTCACTACAAAACCCACTGTAGAATAGATGCACATCTGCAGCACGTAAGGACCTTGTTTGGGGGGGGGTTATTTTAGTTGTCACTTTTTTCACAGCCTCGGAGTTCGTGGGTATGAAAAATAGATGTATGTAAACTAAATATATATATATTTTGTTCTTCTATGCGCACGGTTTGCATTTTTAACCACGTGGCTTTACGTATTATTGCTACAGCCTCGCTGTCCCGGATGTGACGTAACCCAACATGAAGTGGAAAACGAAGCGATGCAGTATTTAAAAACAATATATGAGTGTTTAACAGTTGATTAGTTCTTTGCGATAGTCTTAATTTTATTTTTACAAGGTCTTAAAAAGTCTTGAAAAAGTCTTGAATTTAATTTTGAGATTCCTGCATATACCCTGCCGGGAGAAAACGTTTTTGCTTACGCAGCGACCACTTCATGTAGGTAGTTAAACCAACTGTATATGGTGTTTATTTTAAATGCTTTTATTACAATTCTTATTGGGCTTCCTAAACTTATTTTGATGTAACTTTTTCTGTCTTGTTGCTCATAGCAATAAGTAAGTATCACATAAAAAACTTTGCCTAATCATTCATGACTTCTGCATGCTGCTGTTTACGTAACCCTAATTGAGTCCATTTGTATTCCTCCTGGCTTTTGTATGCTCTTAGCAATGCTCCGGTGTAGTACGAGGGAAAATTAATAAGGAAATTGTAAATTTTAGGGTATCTCAAAACCGGTGAAAGGTCTGCTCCGACAACTACTTAAAAAGTATCCCAGGGTCATGGTAAGGGTCTAAGATGTTAAGTCTATTTAATTTCTGAGAACATAAAACCATATCTTCAGTTTTATAATGTGAAGTAAACTCAGACGGAGTAAAATCCATGCTGGTCCCGTTCATTTTGTTTACATTGATGTCTGCCAGCATGGCGCCTGAGAATCACGTGACGCCCGGAGCTCTATTGGCTCATTGATGCTTCTTTTACTTTTTAAAGTCAGAATCTCCAGTGATCTGGGTCTATTTCACTTTTTCACCAATTAGAAACTCCATTCTGTTTTGAGTGACTGTTCTTTTTTTCATGCTGTGATCGTGGTCTGTTCAGTGTTTGGAGGGTTGTTTGAAAAGTGGACCAGAGGGAGTTGACCCTGGAATCTTTGTTTGTCTTCCAGCTGCTCTGAGGGGGACCACCACACGAGATCTCTACTCACACTTTGGTCTTGAACTGGATGACTGAACAACAGCAAAAAAAAAAAAAAAAAAAAAAAAAAAAGTTCAATGCTGTGAATTATGTTAAACCTATGAGAGAGGTATACCGGAATGTGGACTGAGTGGCTGTCTCTTTAGAAAAGATGTTTGACCTTTTTTCCAAACATTTTAAGTTCAATAGCTTCTCACAGAGATTGTTTGGAGGCAGAGATAACAGGAAAAGAACAAGCTTATTCCAGTATGCAGACGTGCTTTTGAAACATTCTTTAGCTCATTGCAAGGGACATAAAAGTAGGCTGAAGAAAAAGACAAATCATTTAAGTCTGGGTTGTGCAGAAATGTAAATGATCTAGTTGTGTAACTTTGAAAGAATGTTTGGATAGTATTTGGGATTGCACAAGTAATTTAAGGTGTGTAAAACAACTCTGACTCATTGATTTATTAAAAAAAACTTGTTAAAAAATAACATGGAAAAAGACTGTTCTTTGTTCTGAGCACATTGAGCAAGGACCATTATGTCCTAGATATGTCAATCTTGTCAACTGATAAATAACCTCTTTAACTGATTCTGTAGAAGTTTTACAACCATAATGTTGCATTTTTTCCCCACTGTACCCATTTTTGAATCGGCATTTATCAAATGAAGGGTGAAATTTTGAAGTTTTAGATTTAATTTGCAGGTCAAAGTTCACATTATTCATATTCTGAAAATTGCATTTATTCAGATTTTTTTCTCAAAGTTGAGTACTAGTGTGTTCTTGTACTGAATGTGCAGGAATGCAGACCGTTTAAAACAGATTGGATTTTGGTGTGTAACTGTATTTTATAATTGGTTTATCCTATTGAGGGTGCATCAAACCAGTCAGAAATGTTTAGTTATCCGAGTCTGTATAAATAAACATCTTAGGTGTGTTCTTGCTGTGCGTTATTTCTAATTCCATGTTGTCGTTCTTTTTTAAAACACAGAAACGGGTAACAAAACTGTTTCTGTTTTTTAAAAAAGAACGACAACATGGAATTATGTATAAACATTTTTTTTCAGATGCGATGAAGTAACTCCTGCTGTTTGTAGAGATTTTATGAGAAATCTCCTGGTTGTGCATTATTGAGCCTTAAATTCCTTATTGTTGGGAAGAAAGAAGGCAAAATACATAAATCGTCCCAAGTGTGCACTATGTCAGAGGGCTGTTTTAGTTTTTGTGACAAAAGGCAATTACTTAAAGAATTTCAACTAAACCAGCCTGCTGCCACCAGATATATCTTTAGTTTAATTAAGACTATGCGTTTTAAAAGTAAACATGTTCCAGTAAAGCCAGTTATCCCAGTTTGAAAACTATCGTTGCTCCATATTCTCTTTCCTCATTCCTCGAGCCTCTTCTGATGACAGTAGTGGAACAGTAATGGCTGAGCGGAGCAGACGGGCTGATGAATGGGCGAGGTGAGGCCGACTCTGCAGGCCTCTTACGCCACAACGGCCGTGTCATTACCGGGTGGAGACTGGTTCGCCCTACTCAGCAAACAGCCAAGAGCCAGCTGAGCCGCGCCGCATTTCCTCTGTTGAAGCCGCACGCCCCACCGGATGTGATGTCACCCTTTCCTCATTTGCTGATTGGCCGCGAACCCCGTCTCTCAGCGCTTGGACCCAATTCACTGATTTGACGCTGACGGCAAGTGGGCGGGCTCAACTTAGAAAATTATAAGGTCATTTGAATTACGCCTGTCCGTCAGCTCGCCGGTTAAAATGTTCCTAAGGATGGTGTGAAATGATTATGAAAATGAAGCGATGATGATCTCGGGGTCAAAGTCGACGCGAACTGTCGCTGGAGCCGCAGCAGCCGGAGGAGGTCGTTGTGGGATTTGAACCCAGTGCGTGTGTCTGCCGCCGCCTGTGCGCATTTCTCCGACGAGCCAAGCTAGCGGCGGAGAGGAGCGGGGGGGCTACCAGGCTGGCCTGTAAGCCGATCAAGGTGGAATCTCACGCAGCGAGTTTCACATTTGGGATTTCTACGCTCCTATATGCTGTAACGGAGTGAACGAAGGGAAAGGTAGGTAAGCTAACGCTGTCCATCCCCGGAACAAACCAACCATCGCCCCCGCTTTCAACCCTGGTGGTGGTCAGGTTATTATTATCTCCTGACAGAAAGGAGGACGACCTCACGAGCGATTAAAACTCAAGTGGCTGTTCGAATATGTAATTCAAGACACCATTCGGTCTTTTAAAGGCAAATTATGCAGACGGAATGCCTCTATCCGGGGGAGATGTACGCTTGTCCATCCGCTTCCTTAAGAGCTGCGCATCCTGTCCCTTGCACGCGCCTGTTACCATGATAACCCGCATCGTGCTAGCACGATGAATGCTGCTCTACCGGGTCACACGCGGAGGCCGTGCCCACTTTCACACATGGCATATGGTGACCGAGGTCCACGTCCCACTGCCTCATACCTGCCCACCGCAATATGATGCTCCGCGCCTTCCGGGTACAGCACCGGCGAAAGGACGGTGGAGCTTCAGTCTCCAGCCGTGAAGCGGCAGCTGCCGTCCTTTAACGTCGCTTTCTTTTGATTCGTGACTTTATTATTAACATCCGCTAGTCATGGTGATTTAATGGCTCACCCGAATCAGCTGCGCGCGTTTTAAATAAATATGAAGTCACGTGGAAAAGGAATAGTGACCCTACATAGCTATGTGTGCTTTATTTCTCTGCATGATTATTAGAAATTGAACAAAGCTGATGAATATATTATGAGGAAAGCTATCATTTACTGACTAGGGTCAGCTTTCTAACGATCAGGTGGCTCTGTTCACTCATATCTCTTTATGGAGTTGCAGACCTGTGGAAGCAGGTTGCTGAACCTCATTCAGCTGCAAGTAAAACAGGAAAGTTGAAGTCCTAGTTTGTATTTGTCAATCTTCTAACTGTTGTTACATGATAGTACAAGATGAAGTGAGTGATTTTACTATGTTACAACTACTCGCTCAGCCAGGACTGAGTTGGTGTATTAAAATGTAAATTGAACAAAATCATTGTATATGAGGTTCTCTCTGCAGCCTGACTGATTTTCAGCTTGAAGTGACTATGCGTCTGTGTCTACCTACCTAACGTGTGTGCATTCTTACAGGATGATGCGACTAGCATGTTGCACAGCTCTGCTGTTCGTGTTCAGGCTGCTGGCAGGCTTGCCGTGGTACCAGGTTCTTCCAGGAGTCCTGATCTTCTACCTCGGAAGTGGAGGATGGAGGTTCCTGGAGATTTTTGCCATGACGATTGGCAGGGACTTACAGTAAGCTTTTAGGACCATCCAATACATGAAAATCATGAAATTGGGCATCCCTTCTTTTCAAGTTCACTTCCAAACAAACACAAATGACGTTTTTCGTTTGGGTTGTTTCTTTATTCTCACATCATCAGCTGTGTTCCGTTTCTTGGGTGGCTGGTGGTAATGCAGCTTGTGGGGATTTTGACATGAACAGGTTTTTGCAGATGTTTTTGTTTTCCATTGGAGAACTTTGCACCTTGAGCAAAACGGTCTGCGTGAGAGTAAAGTGCTGAGCTTGAGCCTAAAACTGATCAAGTCTATAGTGAATATTTGGATGACTGTGCCATAATAGTTTGACTACGACCTGGGGGCTTTGTTTGACCTTTATTATTATTATTTAAATTACTTTAACTCTCACAGGGAGACATCTTCTGCTTTTCTTTGTTTTAAATAAAATTTCCACTCCCATCAATTGCGTTTCAGAAATCACAATGTCAGATGTTTGGATGAGCCGTAACTTTCTGAAAAACATCAACTGATTTCCTCAGGTCATTGATTAGTCCTCTGAGAAAGACATTATATTAAATCAATAAAGTTCTGAGCTTTGCCTCCAGCAACAAGTGATAATGACATAAACGGCTGCACCAGCTCCGTGTTTGCATTCAGAACTGTCTCAGTAAAAGAAATATATGATTTCAGGATTTAAAAGCAACAATGAATTTGCATCACCTGAATAATTAATTCACAATCTGTAAAAATGTGGACGGGCAGCTTTGAAACGGTTTTCGGTTTTAGAGCAAATAAACTGGAATATTTCTACAAAGGAAAATTAAAAGAATGTGTTTAGATCCTATTGTTTACATGTCAGAGGTTGCCACGGTAATGGGGTTTGGTTAACCTGTCTCAAAGCTTTTCTACTGCTACTGGTTTAACAGGAAATGCAAGCATCCACTTTTTAAGATGAAGCGGTTTAACTAGTCATACAGAAAACAGCTTTTGGAACAAATAAAAGATTAAACGTTAGAGAATTAATTATCGTGGGTGAAGTGTTGGGCCATCTGGGTCCTGATCATCATCCTGATTTTTGACCCAGACAACTATGATTTCTCATAGGATGTTAATGTGTTTGGTATTTATGCTGTAGAACTGCCACGGCCCATAGATAAGTTTCTGTACACTTGGGTAACCATTACTAGGAAGTCTTGCTCCTACAGGTGAGGCTCAGGTTGGTTTAGTTGGTGTGTGAAATGCTGCAGTACTTAGACATGTTTTCTGACAAGTATTTCTAATAGCAAGTTAAAAGGAAATGGTTCTAAAATAAGTCTTAAGGAAAAAGTTTCAGATTTAATTTTCAGTCGAAATATGACGTTTTAGCAGGTAAGAATGTTTTATTTGATCCAGACATACAGGTGAAACTGGAAAAATGAGAATATGGTGCAAAACTCCAATTTTTTCAGTAATTTGTTATAGACCAAGAGACCATCTAAAGGCTCAGGAACCCATTGCAGGTGCTCTGGATTCATTAGCTGATTAGAGTGTGACACTATGAGTCTAGAATATTAAATCTTTTCACAATATTCTAATTGTCTGATATTCTGGGCTTTCATAAGCTCTAAGCAACAATCATCACAACTATAACAATTAAAGGCTTGAAACATCTGGCTTTGTATGAGGGATGTAAGAAAATGTCTATGGTAATATATCATGATTTTTTTTCCTGTGATATTATATTGATATTCAATATCAAATTTTTGGAAGAATTTACATGCAGAGATTTTCTTTTCATTTGGTGTAATTCAAATGTCGACCGCTAATTGGCAGCAGTGTACAATAGGTTTTGTTTCCACCATTGAAATGTAAGTCCATCTATCATGGTTCAGATGATGTTAAACGTGTTGCGTATCCGTTTGGACTGTTTATTGAATTTTCCTAAAATAAATTCGGTCTAAATAAATTGCTAATATCGTCTGGCTGAATGTATTGCATTAAATCGTGATGTATCGTATCGTCTCCCCTGTATCGTATCACCAGAATTTCACTAATACACATACCTACTTTGTATGAATTGAGTCTTTTATGTACTAGTTTGACTTTTAAAAGCTGTTATAACAAATCTACAGAACAGGCTAGCTTTTTAACGTGAACGCGGTCACAGAACACTCACCCCTCCCCTTGGGTATCTTCCCCGAGATGCTTCTGCCAGAACTGGAAACTTGTGTTGCTGGAGGATATGAGATAATGCTAAACACCAGTCGCCTTTTTCTACTTCCGAACGCCTTTTGTTGTCCGTAACTCAAATGGCGTTTTTCTTTTTGGGACTCTGGTAGTTTGTCCTAAAGTCGAAGTGGTAGCAGCCGGCTGTTTCCCCTATCTGATATTATTGAGCGGAGAACCTCTCACACCAGTGATGTTCTGTTGCTTAGTATGCGAGTGTGAGAATGGGAGGACACAGGGAAGTGTGGTGGTTCGGCGAGACCGATAACCGGATGCTCCCAATAGTTGCTTTCAGTCCGATACGTCTTGGCTGAGGTTTTTAGACAGATGCGAGAGAGCCTCTTTATTATTTTATTTTCACTTTTTTTATTTCCACAATATATTTTTAGCCATTAATGTTAGAACAATATTGAGAGGCATGAAAATAATAATTTGTTTTAGAAATTTGCTTGAATTACTGACATAAATGAACTTTTGCAGCACATTCTAATTTTTCCAGTTTCACATGTAAAATGAGTCTCTTGTATAATAATGAACAACTGATCGTGGTCAGAGTACAGCTATAAAATTACTTTTTATTGTGTTTATTTCATTATTCACCATAACAAAAAGCCTGCTGTCTGTACCTCTGAGCAATAAATGCAAAAGTACCGAGCGTTGCTATTTATTCAGACTTTGTCCCATCGGCCCGTGCAGCTGAAATGTTTTATGATCTGCATACATGTAGGCAAAGGACATCCTCCGATGGCTGACTATCAGAATATTTGCTTTGAAGGATTTTATTTACAGAAATTATAAAAAAAAAATGATTACAGCTTGTTTGTTGCAAGAGCTAAACATTTTAAGACCTATTTATGTGTTTAAATAAACCAACAAAAATCTAAAGGTAACTAATGAAGTTGTTAGATTGACTCATTCTTGTTTTGCTTTGTTTTCTGTCTCTTGCTCCTTTAGTGCAGCATATGTGTTGTTGCGGGTGAAAATGAACGTCAAGAGACACGTCAGGGAGAAGAACACGATTCCAAAGATCTTCGCAGAAACAGTTCAGCGTCATGGGGACAAAACGGCGCTCATATTCGAGGGAACGGGAGAGAGGTGGACGTTCCATCAGTTGGACGAATACTCCAACAGGGTGGCTAACCTGCTGCTGGATCGTGGCTTTAAGGTAACTTTATGCCTTAGAGGACTTCACTGTAGTTGATGGGATATTGGCAGAAAACTGAACAGTTTTTATTGCTTCTACTTTGAAGGAGGGTGATGTGGTGGCCATTTTCATGGAGAACAGGTCTGAGTACGTGGGCCTCTGGTTGGGCATGGCCAAAATTGGAGTAGAAGCTGCTCTGATCAACTTCAATCTGAGGCTGGAGTCACTGGTCCACTGTGTCACCATCTCCAATTCCAAGGCGGTGATCTTCGGTTCGGAGCTGATTGATGGTAAGATGATGGAAAGGTTCACGTTAGACATCTCTCCCCTCTACAGGACTGACTTATGCTGATGGATGCTGTTCTACTTCCATTGTAATGAGAGAGGCGAGTGCAGCATGAGCCATAAAAGATAAATGGCTATTTGAGTAGGTGTCTCCTCGGTATCAGTCGGCGGAGCTCGCAGTAATGAAGAGGGAGAGATCGGGAAATGTCTTTATCACCAACGTGGAGTGTTAAAGGTCTGAAGAGCAACATACGTCACAAACCAGAGCCGATAAAAGGCAGGAACACAGAGATAAAAGCAGATCAGCATTAAAAAGTTGCATAATTGTTGCATCAATATTCTAAAATAAAGCAGCCCCACTTTTTCCTCCCACTTCACTTTTATTTTGATGTTGTGTCTAAAATGCTGAATAAAAAAACGGGTGGCATTAAAAGTTCTATTCATTGAACATCACTTCGCCTGCATGTGACGTGAACCTGCGGTACCAGTGAACCAAAAGTGCAGCTTCAGAGTTTTATTCTGCTTTTCTCTCTTGGATTCCCTCCCAATCAGAAAAGCTTTAAATGTGGTTGTTTTGGGGTTTGTTTTTTTCTCAGATTGATGGAGCCATCTCTGCATCCGTTCATCAGCCTGTAGTGTGTTGTACAGTGTTGGGAGTAAAGCGGTACAAAAGTAATTAATTACTGTAATGCATTGCTTTTCGCTGTAATGTGGTAATGTAAGGCATTACAGGGAAAGAAAAGGATAATATTTACTTGGTACAACTGTCAGTAACGCGGTAATTACAACGCATTTTTAAACCCAGAATCAAGATGTGGGGTTCCTAAAAATTCAAATTGCGGGAAGCCTGAAAAAAGATCCAGTATCCACATATATTACGTCATTTATGGACTCAGCTTTGCGGCATTCTATGAGCAGAGAGGGTGCAGAGGTAATGGCTCAAATACTCTAGCTCCGTCCTGCGCGCTGCCGCTGTTATATTCACAAAATCGCTCCACCAAAACAAAGTCATTTGTTTGCGATAATTTATATCAGCCTTCTCTAGTACTTCTTGTACTTTTTAGCTGAGTTCATAATAATAATAATAATAATAATAATCTGTGCCCCGGTGATTTCAAGTCATTGCTGCTGGAGCGCAGCGCATATTAAGCTTTTTGTTTGTTGCGTTCGGTAGATGCCTTTGGCTGATTAGTTAGAAAGAAGGAAATCTAGGAAACAGTTTTTCTGGAAGACGGAGAAAAGATGCAGCATGCAGGAAGGTTAGAGAGAGAAAGGGCCGGAAATTATTCAAATAAATTCAAGAAAACAAAACAAAGTGCTTGAAAAGAAAAAAAGTAGGTAGATTTATTCCCAATACACATTTTTACCAGTAAAAAGCAATAATATATAAGCATTTAGTATTTATACATGTGATAGAATCAGATCACCCCAGAAGTCAGTCCCACATCCAGGGCCGTATCAAGGCATTTGGGGACCAAGGCAAATATAGGCTTGGAGCCCCCACCACCTCACTCTCTGCTCAGATGGCCCTATAAGATGGCAGCGTGCTGAGAGTACAGATTGTTGTTGCTTTTATGTAATAAACAATCATTTTAAAGCACTGTTGTGATAGCTGACTGTTTTTAACAGCAATCCTAGCTCAGACACCACATCACTTTCCACATATATGTCATGAGCTCACTGAGCGTCAGATTACCAGATTCATATTGAAGTTGTTTTGGTGAAAGTTACTTAAAGTAATGCAAAAGTAGTGTAATGTCTTACATTTTATAATCAGTAATATTGTAATGTAATGAATTACTTTAAAATGAGGGTAACAAGTAATAAATAATGCATTACAGTTTTGAAGTAACTTGCCCAACACTGGTGTTATAATGTATTTAAGTAATTACAAGCGTGGCCTGGTTTATGGTGTAGGATCAAGTCATGCCGTAAGTGCTGAGCCAGGATGGGCTGTTATGTTTAGATACTCCGTCTCGTTTTCTAGGTTGAAGCTTTATGTGTCATCTTAGCTTTTTTCTATCTGCCTGTTATGTCTTGTATTTCGTATTTACCAGAACTGTTCCTCTTTATCACCTCACGCGTTCCCTCTTTGGGTCAGTGCAGTTGCCCACTTGTTTTAATCGTCCTTGACCTATTTCAGTTTCTCTCACTATTCTGAAGTTGCTGAAAGCTGTGCTGCTGAATGCATCTGTGGAATGAAGCCTGCATACTTCAGCGTGTTTTTTTTTTTTTACTCTTCACAGCGGTATCTGAGGTCCACAGTTCAATGGGAAAGGCGGTGCAGATGTTTTGCTCCGGAGACTGGGACCCCAAACGAGTCCCACAGGGAACCGAGTGCCTGGAGCCCCTGCTGGCCAGTGCCTCGTCCCGCCTGCCTCGCCCGCCGCAGCGCTGCTTCACAGGTGAAATGCCACGCCCTCTGCAGCTCTACTAATAGGGCATGTGTTCCTTGAGAGAGTTGAAAAATATGCTAGCATCTCTCCATCAAGAAAAGCTTTTTTTTTTCTTTTATCAGAGTCTAGCTTCAGGTCAGTTAAATTTCTGGGGTATTGATCTGATTGCTTAAGAAGCAAAAGGGGTTGGAAATCAGCATCCTGTACCCTACAGAGGTTTCACAGACACAACTCCACCAGAATGTCACATGAGTATGGGCCGATGCCAGATGGTCTGCTGTGTCTCCCACAACGGTCTCAAGACCATCAAACAGGGTATCCGCGGGTCCTTAAAAAGTCTTAAATTTGCTTTTCCAAGTTTAAGGCCTTAAAAATCCTTAAAAATGACAAATAATCCTTAAATAGAGTTTCCGAAGGTCTTAAATAACCAAAGACCCAATTAACAAGATTCTTTTATTTCTATAAAAATTTTGTGAATTTCTAGTTACTGTTCAGCATTTTTTGTGTACGATGTTGGCGTAAGCGGAACCGTACACATTCAGTTGGTTGTGAAAGGGGGCTGTTTTTAGATTAGCACATTAGCTGGTTAAGCTAGCGGGAACTTGCGCCATGGGGAAGTGCAAGTCTAATGGTAGCTGGAAGGTTAATCCCATGTTCGCGACGTGGTTAGCACTGGTTCCAGGCAATAGCTGGAAATTATAGCTTAAATGTAATGTTAAAAAATTGCTTAAATTTGGTCAAAGTGGCCTTAAAAAAGGTCTTAAGTCTTAAATTTGGCTCCCTTAAACCTGCTGATACCCTGAGCAAAGGTCCTGAACCCATCAGCAGGGCTGGTATCTGCTCCTTTGTGGAAAGAGGAACAGGAAGAGTGCTGCCAGAGCCTCACAAAGTTACTGGTGTGAAAGTTTCTGACCAAATTATTAGAAACAAACTTCACGAGGGGGCCTAAGAGTCCAATGTCCTCAAGTGGACACCGGCTGTCATCAACAGGCATTTGTTAGGCTCCCGATTCTGGTGTTCTCGAAGTCACGCCCATCTACTTCCAGACCATAGGCCCCCTACTGTCAACAAAAGAATGACTGGGAGTCAATGAGTTGGTAAAATTATTACTGTTTAGTAAGTACTATGGATTTCACATTTGTTTTCCATGAATTTTAAAGACGCAATCTGATGTCAAGAAAGCGCGGCAAAAGTTGCTTTAGGTTTTGTGTGAAAAGGCGTAGTGGACTACGGGGTTCAGGGGCCACAAAGAGGGGGCCCGCGGGCCTCCTATTGAGCACCTCTGGTTTAGACTATTCAAAGCTGTTAGCAACTGATGTTAACCAGCCAGAGGAGAGATGTCCAAATATCAGGAAATAAGACTCTAATCCTGCAGTCTGAAGCTACTTTCTCTTCCAGCTGAATTCCACACCTTCAAATAGGCGCACCAGAGCTTTGTTTCCCACGAGAATGACTTGCAAAGCATTCATTCCTACTGGAGACAACATGTGTGTGATTCAGGGCGTAAGGTAGAGCAGATTAAAAAAATTGGTTTTATAGCCCCGTTTGCTTGCATTTGTTTTTTTTTTCTTTGTTCCGGGACCCTTGAGCTGACCAGAAGGGGAGGAGACTAGGCTCCTTATTAACTGGTCCCGCACTGGTTTCCTGTGCTTTCCACAGATGATGGCAGGTTCGCTCTGAGCTCATGTGACCAACATGAAAGGGTTTAGGATGGTTCCTCATGATGGGTTTGGTGGTGGCTCTGTGTTAGTCTATATAGACATCCATGGAGGGACACAGACCTGTCCAGGGTAGATGACGATACCTGGCTGTCAATTGGGCCATTCCCATCTGTACCGGGTCGGCCCGGGCCGGGTAGCCCCAGTCGGCCCCAGCCTGGCCCGGTTGATTCCACACATCCTTGTCTTAAGCCCATGTGGGCTGATTCTACCCACCAATCAGAGGCTTGCTCTAATGGAAGGTGTGAATGGGCTGATTCTACCCACCAATCAGAGGCTTGCTCTAATGGAAGGTGTGAATTTGCTGTCAGCAGTGGGCGTGTTGGCCCTGGTCGGCCTGAAGCAGTACCCCTCGGGAAGAGGGCCGAGAATGAGCCTTGGTTGGCCCGGGAAAATTCCAGGCCACCCAGATATGTAAACAACCTACGCTACCCGGCCCGGGCCGACCCGGTACAGGTGGGAATGGGGCTAATAAGTACCAGAATGAAATCTTCAGAGCTACTGTTAGACCCTTCACTGGGTTCCTCCTGGTGCATGATGATGATGTCCCACCTCATGTGGGAAGAGCATGCAGGTGGTTCCTGATTCCAGTCACTAGCCTAAATCCAGTAGAGCATCTCTGAATTTGTCTGAGGCCACCAGGCTGCACCTCAAACAATCCAGAAGATGAGTGATGCTCATTTCAGGATTTGGGTGGACTTCATCTGTTAGCTCATAAGGGCCATTAAGCCTGTTCCACACTGTGCAAACATGTAGGGACAGCACAAACATCTGAGAACCATCATGAGCTTCAGCAGACTGGACCTGGCCTGCTGCATCAGGTCTTCAGATTCATGGTGACTTTGAATTAAGACCTCTATAAGACTGGTGGTGTTCATTTTAGTCATGATGATGTCATCCTAACACATTACCCATCTGTTGTGCTTTCAAGGTCTTCCTTTACATTTGTTGTATTTTTAGACACTATCTCAGAATATCTGTTAGGACTGTGTGTGTCGTCATCTGAGCCAGTTGTTGTGGCCATCTTTAATCCGCCAACTCTAAAAGATGACCACTAGTAGATGTGCCTGTAATGATTACTATCCAGGAGTCTCAGTAAGCTGTTTCCTGTGGTTCATGAGAATGTTGCTGAAAGACAAACACGGGCACAACTAGTTCCCACTGCTGAATGGTGGGTGATAATAATGATTATTAAAGATTTGAATTTACTAAAATTACAAACACGTTTATTTATATATATGTGAGCAGCTAATGATGATCAGTCTAATGAACATGTTTTTTTCCTAATGAGTCATTTAAATGGTTCTGCATAATTGTTGACTTTAGTATAAAGTCAAACCTTAAAACCCTAATCTGCCTGTTGTCATTTTTTGAGTTTTCAGAACACTTTACTAGTAATTCTTATTTGTATCAGATTTGTAATTGAATCCAACTAATGCGTCTCTCCACTGCTGAGTTTGCACACTACCTGGTAGTCTTGTTGCATCCTTCCAGGATCCTGGTGAAGGTGATTCTTGCGTCACTCACCTGGAAAACAGCACGCCCGATGATGCAGCATCATTAGAAAAGAGCACCTTTCTTATTTGTGTTTTACTGTTGCAGATCGCCTGTTCTACATCTACACATCAGGAACCACGGGGATGCCCAAAGCTGCTATTGTCGTGCACAGCAGGTAGGAAGCACGAGTGCAGCCGACAAGCGGCCAAACAGGGACTTCTGCTGTTCCCTTCTCTCGTGTCGCTCAAATAGGAAAGAATGCGGCTTTGGCTCGGCTTAATGTAAACTTTTAGGTTGTCTCCTGGTTTTCAGATACTACCGCATGGCAGCTCTGGTGTATTACGGCTTTAGGATGACATCAGATGACACGCTGTATGATTGCCTCCCACTTTACCACTCTGCAGGTGAGTGTGATTGATGGGAACCTTTGTTTTTTTCCAGGTCAAGTAGGCTCTTGTTCCCTCTTTGATTCATTAAAGATTTAAACCATGGCTATTAAAGGTTTTGAGATCAGTATAAATAAAACTTTGTTCCTCGTGTTTGTGGTTCTAGTCAGATCAGATCAGTGTTGACTCACAATAGACTCACCTGTGACTAACAAAGCTGTAGTCGGATTGTTGACTTCCTCTGGAAAGATTTTTTATCATTTTAGTTTATCAAAGAGCACGTCCTTATTTTTATTTATTTATTTTTTTACACGTGACCTCTTCATTTCTTTGTGTTCAGGCAACATCGTGGGAGTGGGTCAGTGCATCATACACGGGATGACTGTAGTCATCAGGAAGAAGTTCTCTGCCTCGCGGTTCTGGGACGACTGTGCCAAATACAACTGCACCGTAAGCATGATCTCATCCACAAGTCTCCGACACACACCGCTCAGATACTTCCTCACAGCTCCCACAACAGTTTCTTCTCCTTTCATGTGTTTTTTATCACTTAATCAATATGCAAGAATTTCACCGTGAAATAAATCCAAATCAGTTTAATGTCTTCTTCATGTTGGATCCGTAACTATCGAGGGCCATGAAACTTACGCACAGATGGGTGGCATTTAACTGCAGTACCCTAATCTGACTACAAGATGTCCTCCCTGCATCCGCCTTTTTGGTTCTTGTATATGCTCCAGATCGTGCAGTACATCGGGGAGATCTGTCGATATCTGCTGAACCAGCCGGTCCGTGACGCTGAGCAGCAGCACCAGGTGCGCATGGCGCTGGGGAATGGCCTGCGCCAGTCCATTTGGGAGGAGTTCATGAACCGCTTCAACATCCCACAAATAGCAGAGTTCTACGGAGCTACGGAGTGCAACTGCAGCTTGGGCAACTTTGGCAACAAGGTGAGGGAATTTCCTGCGAAAACCGGGAGACGTTGGTGTGATTAAACTGAATCAGGTTCTTACTTCGCTTACATTTTTGTGTTTCAGGTTGGAGCGTGTGGCTTCAACAGTCAGATTCTGCCCTTCGTCTACCCCATCAGACTGGTGAGGGTCGATGAAGAGACCCTGGAGCTCATTAGGGGACCTGATGGAGTCTGCATCCCTTGTAAACCAGGTGGGTTTTGTCTTTAGTCATTTTAAATGTCAGTGGTAAACATCCCACGAGGATATTTAGCTGCTGTTAATTCTGCTTCACTAACAAGCAAAGTCTGAATATAAAGGTTTTAAATATACGGTTCACTGATGATGATCTAATATTTCTAGGTGAGCCTGGTCAGCTGGTCGGTAAGATTATTCAGAACGACCCTCTTCGGAGGTTTGATGGCTACGTCAACCAATCGGCTACGACCAAGAAGATTGCTCACAGTGTGTTTAAGAAGGGAGACAGCGCTTATCTGTCTGGTCAGTGCTCACGCGTTCACCAACAGTCGTGCTTTTGTTTAAACAAACTCCAGCCATCTAAATGGACTCCCGTCTCCAGGCGATGTTCTCATCATGGATAAGTACGGACACATGTACTTCAAGGACAGAACGGGAGACACTTTCCGATGGAAAGGGGAAAACGTCTCGACAACTGAGGTGGAAGGAACCCTGAGCCGGCTGCTGGACATGAAGGATGTGGTTGTTTATGGCGTAGAAGTACCAGGTACGGTCAGAATCCCACCCTAAAAGTGACGGTGTGCATGTTTCCTGGCGATAGGGGGCAGTAGATACCTACATCGTTGCAAGCAAGCAGTATTTTTGTTTTGGAGTAAGACTTTACCAATGGATGCCCATTAGGGTCAAAAAGCCCTGGGGAGTGCACATTTTAGCAGAATAACAAACACACCAGATTCCATTCATCACTGGCAACAAGAGAAGAGGTAAATGTGTAAAATAACATTTAAGAATGACGAACGTTTTGTAACCGTTTGTTACAAATTAGTAAATGCATTTTGTCCTCATGGGCTCCCGTAGAAGGAATCATGGCATCCAATATGGTGTCGTCCAGAGACTTAGACCTGCTCCCATGTTTTTAGACCTGATTTTTATGGTACTTATGTTACGACGCACCAATAATATTTTTCAACAACTGGACATCATTTCATTCCTTTTCAACATTGATGGTAAAAACTACACATTGTCTCTTTAAAATGAAGGAATATTACTTTTAGCCTCATCTACTGAGGAGTAAAATAAATAAAAATCGTCTTACTGACCTTAAATCTCTGATTCCTGATGATAGCTGAAACTGTTTCTGTGAGCGCAGGAGCAGAGGGGAAGGCCGGGATGGCAGCCATCGCTGATCCGTCTCGATCCACCAACCTGGAGAAGTTTGTGAAGGATATGGAGAAAGTTCTCCCTCCGTACGCCAGACCAGTCTTTCTCCGCTGCCTTCCAGAAGTCGACAAAACGGGTAAAATGTTCCTCCTTTTGTAGTTGGTTTTTACATTTTTTTTTTTGTATTGGCAGGAATTAGGTAATCAGTTCTTTGGTGTTTTATCTCGTTTCTGTAAACTGTTTATCACTGAGAATTTGAGACAAGTTCATTTCATTTCTTTGTTGTTGTCTAAAGTCACGAGGTGTAATAAGTTTTCTGTTTGCGTTAGAGAAAAACAAGAAGTACATTTTTAAGTCTATTTTCCAAGCTAAAAGCCATTTAACATATTACATGTTCTTTATTTTTCTGTTTGTTTTTGTGAATTTAAAGATGGGGTTGCAGATTTTAGTTTAGAACAAAATAAATGAGTCTGGTAAAAACAGTCAAGTCTGAGCTAAAACATGACATAAAAGCCCCTTTCTCTTTCAGGAACGTTTAAATTCCAGAAGACGGAGCTGCGCCGGGATGGTTTTAATCCCACTGCTGTGTCGGACAGGCTCTTCTTCCTGGATACCAGCAGAGGGCGCTATGTGCCGCTGGATGAAGAACTTTACCGCTCCATACTGTCAGGCAAACACAAATTGTGACGACCAGGCTGACCATTACATCAGTGTGACACACACAGCTGCAGGAAAGAGGACGATAGTGTGTGTCCAGGTTAGCAGAACAAGTACCCCCCACACACTGTTACACACACACACACAAAGGCAAATTCACACCCAAGGATATTTTACTCCCAAACGGACTCTGTTCTTTTAAATCTATTTGTTTTAAATTTGCACGTTGCTCTAGTCCATCCACCCCCACCCTCGCTACCTCAGTCAAGACAAGAGGCACAAACCCCTTAAAGCCAGATCTGTTTGGTAACTTCACTCCCCTGAAACACAGCCCTCCTGACACTCCATCACTAGTCCATCCCATCAAAGGTTTTCCTAGAAGGAAAAGGGATGAGTAATAGGCAGCCTGGCATCCAAAACACAAACTTGAGGGGTCATAAAGAGAACCGGTTCTGCACAAGAACACTGCAGGAGGAAAACCAAGTTATGTCGTTTAACGGAGAGATTTTGTTAAAAGATGGCGATTCAACTCGAGACTCAACCTGCACAACAAGCCCGACGCGACAGACCTCCACCACCAGGGACACGGTTAATCCGGGGTGTCTGAAGCTCTTCTGCTAAAAGGGAACAACACAACGATGTGAGGAGAGCGTCTGCACAGAGGCGTTTAACTCGACCAGCGGCTGAAGCTTTAATGTGCAATAGATCTCCAGCGTTTGCAGCGTGCAGTAACGTGCTGCAGGAAGCACGACAACTGCTGTGGTGTTTTAAATTTTTTATTTAAATATGTCTGCAACATACCAAACGTGTTTTTATTAAGTCGTTTACATATTTTAGTTGATGTGAATGTTTAAAAGGATACACTTGTACAATGGAAGGTTTTTTTCTGCTGTATTTGTAACCAAATCCATCCTTTATAAGCTTGGAGCTCTTTAAAACAAAGCTGCTGGGTAAGCTTTAAATCAGCCGCTGGGACACAAGGGAAGCCACCTGACAGACTCAACCCTGGGATAAAAAAAAACCTTGAGGTCCTTTCTGTAGAGTGAAGTTTTTCACTATGACAATGTGGCCATATTGTGCAGGTTTTGTCTAAAAAATGTAGACGTATCTATCACAGTGTTTGCGTGTGTGTGTGTGAGGACTTAACTGAAGGGAGGGGAACTACTTGATCGAGGAATCTGCAGAATTCAGGAGGCCTGAAGGATCCAAAACACGAGGAGTGTTGAGCTGTAAAACTAGAGCAGTAGATGAAGAGCACATTTACTTTGTGCTTCATCATTATTGTCTGTTGTTTGCACTCATCATCAAAGGTCGTAGCAGCATGAAGAAGCATCGCCAACCACAAGCAGAGCACTGTGCCTTAGTGTGAGTTCAGGTCCTGGTGATCCCAAACTTTCTATTTCTAAAGGATTTTCCGCATGTCAAATTCCTCCATGAGTCATGTTGGTGAAGATCATCCGTGTTTTGCATTAAAGCATCTTGGTGGGAGGATTGTTCACTAAAGACGGGGTAAATGTCTAAATCTTGCAGAGCTACTGTTTGCTGTTTTTGTTCACATTAAGGTTGATTTCCTTTCACTTCTTTTTGTTTCTTCACAGTTTTTTTTTTTTTTTTTTTTGGTTGTTAAACATCCAGCGCTGCGGGCTCATGTTTCCATCTCAGCTGCTATCAGATGACTATAAATGTTCAAATTAAGTCACTGCTGAATTTTCAGCTGAAAATTAATTTCAAACATCTGTAAATTAAACTGACCCCCCTTCACATGGCCACTAAACTATAATGCAAACCTTTATTTTAAGCATTGCACTGACTGACTCGGTTGTTCTTGATGACTGCAGTCAGCTGATGGCGTTCTTGAGTGTTTGTTTTGGGGAGAAGGGCACTGAATTAGTCCCTGCGCCTCTTCCTGTCACCTATTTTTATTTATTCTTTAATGATGAGTGTAATGTGTTCCCATGAATGTGTGGGGGAAATGAACAATTGACTGATGACGTTGTGATGTGATTTGTGTCTACGGGAGCTAGGTCCGGCTGTTCTATGATGCTTCTGACTGAGGGTTGCATTAGTCAGCTCTCACCACCAGGGGGCGGGTGATTAAACAGCCCCAAAGCAAAGCACTCTGAGGAAGATGTTTCCATATTTTTTAAATGTGCTTAAATTATTATATTAGAATAATTGTTAATGATGCTTTGATTCTTTTTTTCTGCTTTTGATCTGCTTTGTTTGTTTTTTGTTTGTGTTGTGTGGAATCATAGCTTTGCAGTTTTTGTGTAAAGAAAAAAGTGGATTCAAGCATGAATGGATGACAATCGAATGGCTGTTTGTTTCACAAAGTCTTTCCATTGAGATGCACTAGAAAACAGCTAGAGGTAAGCCTCCTGCGGCAGGGGAAATTAGGGTTAAAGAAGTTACTCTGCCTGTCTGCCATTTCTGACACGATAAAGAAGAAGAGGAACAAGAAACATCCACCACTATTCATGCAATTTCTTTAGACACTGCAGCTAATGTGCATTTAATGAATTAAAATTAAATCTTACCTGATAAATGTTGCTGTTGGGGTTTTATTTAAGTTTTAAGTCATGTTTTAATTTGGTTTTCTGCAAACCAAATTTCACACCTCTAGATCATTCTGCTGGTTTTTACATCACTTTGGGTGTTACACCAATAACATCCAAACTTTGCTTTTGGTGCAACTTTAATGGCTTTTTTTATTCAAAACTGAAATTGCTAAAGCTAAAAAGAATAACATTGGCAGAAAAAAACTCAAAGGCATCAGATCAAAGTTAATCCCAGCCTACAGTCTGATTTAGAAATGACATCCTGCGTTAAAACATTTTTACCCTTCATGTTCCTCGTTCTTTAACACGTCCCATTCTGCTTTTTGCACATTTTGTTGTTTCTTTTTGTGTGTGATTATTATTTACTTTTGATTGTTTCATTGACTGCAGTGGCAGCATCTCAGCCTGTGCTTAGAAGAGGTCAGTGATGAGTGTGTGAGAGACAAACGCATACACTTGTTCCTCTTGTTCATCCGTTGTGAACAGATTGTATTTAAGGGAAGTGGGATTAAAGAAGCAACAGATTGAGAATCAGTAATTAAACTATTTACACTGAGCAAGTCAACTGGTCGAGTTCATTTCTTAAATTTACTTTTTTTATTGATCCCAACATTTTATGAACTCTTTAAATTCTATACTTAGAAAAAAGTAATGAATTTGTATTCAATTGTTAAGTGAGCGCTGTAACATGATGTAAATGATACATTTTTCATATTAATTTAAATAGAATGAGAGATGTGACAGAAGGACAGTCTGTCACACCAACAGCCTAACCTACTTTAATTCGGATCTAAATGAAATTTTTTATTTGACATTTCAGCTTATGTAGGGTTTTACTACATACTAGAATCAGCACTGTTTGCTATCAGTTGTAGATTCTGAGAATGACCAAGCAAATCAGCCTATGAAGCTTACATCATGTATAAATATCCAGGATACTTGTATAATCGATGTAAGTTCGTACACCAACCTGTTTGGTCTATTTTTAATCCAAAGATTAATGTTTAAGGTAATTAAATTTAGTAGCAAAAGTTTGTTTTTGAATCAGAAGTTAGGAATCTTTGCTTTTTCAATAACCAGAAATAATTATACCTTTCTGTGTTTCATTTAAAAGAATGAGACAAGTTTAAAAATGAAGAATTTATTACTAACAATTTTTAAACTTTACGATTTGAATGACAATTAGAAATGACAATTCATGGATGACAATTTAATGACAGTTTTTAACAGCTTTGATATTAAACTTGTTTTAAAAGGCAAACCTGTGACTGAATGAAAGCTAAATTGGAAATACGAGTTTGGATGCGTGAATGGATTTCTCAGAAGGTTTCTTTCAGAGAGAGGAACGCATTCTGGGTTGGGAATGATGGTTTGCAGCTAACTGAGTTGTTTACTTAGAGAACAGCATCAAACACAATCTGTCGAAGTCTGCCTCACCCAGTATCAGAAGACCCCTTTTGGATCCGAAGTGTCCAGGTAGAGATGGTTTCCTCCAGGCACGAGGTTGGTAGAAAAACCTCTGGCACGACCAAATCGGTCCTGAGATGTCTCATTGGGTCACTCGACTGGTGGAACTATTTGCGTCTCCAAGTCAATACTCTGAAGGAGTTTTTGCGTCAGCTGGCTACAGTTACGTTTATTCAAAGCTATTCTATCAGTGTGACAGAACAGCAGGTGAAGGTTAGGGACAGCCGCTCCCTTCCTCAGTGATGGTGGTGGGTTCACGAACTGATGTGAAAGCTACTGGAACTTAGTTTTACAAAGTCCTCAGAACACGCCCACTCTCAGCAAGAAAGCTTTGGTCACATGTGATGGCAGTTACCCTTTACTCTGGATAAACTCACTGTGTTAGATGGATAAGTGGAAGCTGACCTTCTGATTTGCTGAACACACATTACTGATCATCAACCATAATCATATTTAAACCCAAAGCATAATAATTCATTTCATGTAATTAAAATACATTTATACTGAACCAAGTGATTATTTATGATGATTATAATAAACAGTAATAAAGTCAAAGAGTTTATTAATATTATTATTTAGATTATTATCGTGAACTTGAAGTGTCCTTCTGGGACGGAACAGCAGCAGATAAGGATAATTCTTTAGCAGACATCAGGGCTCCTGGGTTAATCTGTGGACTTAAAAATTACAGTCTGACCCAGCTGGGTAAATGTGACCTTTGCCACAAATTAGAGAACCTTCATGATGCTACAGATCCCATTTGTTAATCATCTGAAGTTTATTTGTTCAGTTTTGTGACCCAACAGCCGTTCTCCCCCCAACCAGAAAAGGAAGTTGCTTAGTCAATCACCTGACCTGAATGGCATTACATTAGTCTCCGAGAACAAAGTAAGGAACCTTGGTGTTATCTTGGACCGAGACATGTCATTCAAATCCCAGGTTAAACAGGTTTGTAGGATTTCCTTTTTCCACCTTTGGAATATTGCTAAGATTAGAAGCATACTTTCCAGGAGTGATGCTGAAAAACTAGTTCATGCATTAATTACATCAAGACTGGATTACTGTAATTCATTACTTTCAGGAAGTCCACAGAATGTAGTTAAAAGTCTTCAGCTTGTCCAAAATGCTGCAGCTAGAGTTCTGATGAGAATTAAAAAGAGAGATCATATCTCTCCTGTCTTAGCTTCCCTACATTGGCTACCTGTTAAATTCAGAATAGATTTTAAGATCCTTCTTCTCACCTATAAAGCTCTTAATAATCAAGGTCCATCATACATCAGTGATCTGATTGTTCCATATGTTCCTAACCAAGCACTTCACTCTCAGACTGCAGGTTTACTGGTGGTTCCCAGAATATCTAAAATTAGGATGGGAGGCAGATCTTTTAGTTATCAGGCTCCTCTCCTGTGGAACCAGCTCCCAGCCTTAGTCCGTGAGGCAGACACTTTGTCTACTTTTAAGAATAGGCTTCAAACGTTTTTATTTGATAGGGCCTATGGTTAAAATCTGATGTTAGCCTAGATCTGGACAAGTGGGGGAGTAGAGGGAGGTGGAGTGTACAGTCGGTAAAGATGGCTCTCCCTTGCCCTGCCTCCAACATGCCTCCATCTAAAAAGGCTAGGTTATCCAGCGTTATCTCTGTAGTTATGCTGCTATAGGCTTAGACTGCTGGAGGATACACTGACCACTTTTCACACTCTACTGCTTTCTTCTACAATCTGCTCTTTAAATGTATTACTTTCTGCAATTTCAGCTGTTAACTTTATTTTCTCTTTAAGTGTTTTTCTCCCCAGAAGAAGGGGGTTCTGCTAATCACTTTAACATTCTCCCTCTCCTGATAATAACTTTTTGCTTTCCTTGACATTGGATGTGCTACTACTAGTTTACCCATTTAATTATAGATCCACTAGGATAAATACAATAAAGTTTATCTCTCGCCAGATAGAATATTTACTAAGAAATCACAATGTAACCATAGACACATTGCTTGGGGTGTGTGTGTGTGTGTGTGTGTGTGTGTGTGTGTGTGTGTGTGTGTGTGTGTGTGTGTGTGTGTGTGTGTGTGTGTGTGTGTGTGTGTGTTCCCAGATCTCCACCTTCTACGTGTGTTTGCTTCATTTGACCACTAGAGGTCAGATTGTGGGTTACCTACCAGCATAGACTGTACATACTGCCAGTAGAAAGGGCCAGTGGGGTCATGTTTGAGGGGGGCCATGCCCCCTTGATTAGAACAACAAGATCCTGTCTGCAGTCAGGACTCTTGATTTGTTTGTGTGTGTTTCAGCAGCACTGAGTCAACGCTTGTTTTGGTTCTGAGGTTTCTGGTCAGTTCCTCGTGTGGTCTCCAGCTGTGAGGGCAGCATCTGAGAATCAGCTGATCCAAGTCAACCACAAACACGACTTATTCATGTGTTTCTGAGAAGTCAGGCCTGTTTTTAACCAGACATTTCCAACACGTGGCCTCTGTTTGCTGACCCTGGGCTGTGATTGGCTTACAGACAGGTGGGTGGATCAGCAGTGGGAGCAAATATTGGCACAGCCCGAGCCATTCTGACTGCTGCTGCCTTTAGGCTCGGATCAAAAAGTCCATCTCATTCCAGCACATTCATCTCACCACTTCAGTCTCATCTCTACACAGACATGAGGACCACGGTGATCTCCGTTGTCATGGCAATGATGTACGTGATGGTGGCGCCCGCAGCTGTGAAACCGCAAAAAGATTTTAATGTGCAGAAGGTAAACATGTTTATAAGGAGTTGGCTTTCTGTGTGATTTCCATTCCTCTCAATGAGAAATGTTGGTATTTACTAATTGTGTTCCTTTAGAACCAGAGGGATGTCTGACTTGGCAGCATATTGCACCTTTTCTCTCTTTTTAAAGGCTTTCATTTATTTCCTGATTTTTTAAACCTTCCAGTTTTTGTTTAATTTACTTCCCTGCAGCAGACTTGATTGTAATCATTTAATATGTTCTGGTCGGAGAGTGTTTTGGAGTTTCTGTTTGGACTTTGGCTGCTTTTTCACATACTTGGTCCTTTAATCTGATCATGAAAACTTTTTATTGTACAGTAATTTTTCAATGAGGAAAGTGGACACGTAGAGTTTTAGTAAGTTATTTAAAACTAGAAAAAAATCCATTAAAGACCTGAGATTTGTTATAAAATACATGGTTTGGGTTAAACTGTATTGGACTTCTTATTTTCTGAAGATTTAACTAAATGTGTTCCAACTGCAGTGGATGGATCACACTCCTGAGCCTCCCTGGTATGGCCTATTCAGGTGTTCTGGAGAAGAGAGTCCGTCGGATAGTCGAACCAGATTCAGGAGAAGCAATGTGCTTTCCGCCCTGGCCGTGAAACATGGCTACAGCTCTATACCCTAAGGGGGTGTTTTGTGGATTTGGAGAAGGTGTTGGCCCTGTGGGTGGTACTTTGGGAGTATGGGGTAACAGGTCATCTGTTATGGGCTGTTAGGTCCCCGTTTGCCCGGTGTCAGAGCTTGGTCCGCATACCCGGCAGTAAGTCTGGCTTGGTAAGAGTTGGACTCCGCCACTGATTTTGTTCAGAAACCTTGAGGACAGGATTTCTAAGCGCTGCCAAGATATTGAGGGGATCCATTTTTGTGGCCTGAGGATCAGGTCTCTGCTTTTTGCAGATGATGTGGTCCTGTTGGCTTCACCAGAATATGATCTCCAGGTTTTGCTGGAGCGGTTCGCAGCCGAGTGTGAAGAAACTGGGATGAGAATTAGCTCCTCTAAATCTGAGACCATGGTCTCGAATCGGAAAAGGGTAGAATGCCTTCTCCAGATCAAGGATGAGATCCTGCCTCAAGTGCAGGAGTTCAAGTATCACGAGTGAGGGATAAAAGGAATGCGAGATCGATTGGCAGATCGGTGCTGCATCTGCAGTGATGTGGGCGTTTGACGTGTCTGGTCTGGTCTGACGTGGTGAAGAGAGCTGAGCCTAAAGGCAAAGCTCTTGATTTCTACCTTCAGCTGTTGTCATGAGCTTAGGGTAGTGACTTAAAGATACAAGCAACCGAAAAAAGTTTTCTCTGTAGGGTGTCTGGACTCTCCCTTAGAGATAGGTTGAGAAGCTCTCGATCATCCGGGAAGGGCTCGGAATAGATCCGCTGCTACTCCACAGGAGGAGCCAGTTGAGGTGGCTCGGGCATCTGGTTAGGACGCCTTCCTGGTGAGGTTTTCCGGGCACGTTCAACCAGGAGGAGAACTAAAGGAAGACCCAGGACACGCTGGAGGGGCTATGTCTCTCACCTGGCCAGGGAACACCTTGGGATTCCCCTGGAGATGCTGACCCAAGTGGCTGGGGAGAGGGAAGTCTGGGCCTCCCTGCTTAGGCTACTGCCCCCAGGATCAACCCTGGACAAGCAGCCCAAAATGGAATGGATGGATCAAATTGGAGTTTGTGACTGATCCTGAGGATCTGGGTTGATAATGAAATAACCGCTTCAGCCCTGAATGATTCATAACAGGCTTGATATGAGCTCAACAAATAAACATGAAACCAAACTCATGCATGTTAAAAACTCAAAATCAGTGAAAAACAACAAAAGAAAAAAAAAATCAGCAGTAAGCCTAAAAAATGACTGAGATCATTTTAAAAAAGAAAATCTGGATCCTCAAAAATTTAGGGAATGTCTACAAAACCAAACTAAATAAATAAATATTATAAAACAAGATTGTTTTTTTATATTTTGTATCAGGTAGGATGGTGATGGCTTAGGTGAGGTCATGCTGAGGTTAGAGATGTTTACATCTTGCATATTTTTAGACATTTCCACATAAATCTGTCATTCTCCGTACATTCAGCTATGATCCAAACTCATTTCCTGCAGTTACTCGAGTCTCTCTCAGATCCATTCACATAATTCATATGAGACTGTGTGATGTGCACACATCTGAACACGAGTTTGAGCTGAGGCAGTAAAATGATTCACCACATTAACACATCAATGCCCACACTACAGGGAGATAGTTTACTGCATAACAGGAGAAAAATGTTTTACTGTGAAAGTTTAACAACATTAGATTTCCTCTGGAGAAAACACGATCATCACAAATGTTGACCAGATCGTGAAATGATCTGTAAACCAGGCTGTTGAGACATCAGAAAAGTTTCCAGAATAAAGAGAAGGGTTAGGGTTGAGAAGATGAGATTTCTTTATAATAAAAAAAGCGTGAACTGTCAGCAGAAAAACCAGTTTAGTTTGTTTCCTTCCTTCAAATGTGTGAATGTTTAGTTTACAGGTAAATGGTACCGTGTGGGGCTGGCCTACGACTCTCCGGGTTTTGTCCCTCTCAGAACCATAATGAAGATCTCCGTGGGTGTCATCAGCGTTCTGCCCAACGGCAACGTCAACCTCACCTCTTGGGAAGCCGTGTGAGTGTAGAATACACGTGCACAGACACTGATGTGCATGTTTGAGAGAATTAATGGGGGATTAATCAGATGTTATTAGGGATGCACCTGTAGCTACAGTTACTCCGCTACACACTGATACCGATAAAGTTAACCATTACCAGGAACCGATACCAATGCAGTTGCTTGAAAGTAGGCTTCACTGTAACTTGTCACTTGTGTTCACCTAATATTTTAGTTTTGTGATCATTTCTATTCATATATTTTAATTTTGATCCATCTCACAGTCTTTTCCTGTTGAAAGCAGAGCAGAAAATAAAACCTGTATTCCATTTCATTGCATTGTTTTGTGTGGTAGAAGTATCGGTATCGGTAATCTGTATCGGCAAGTACTCAGATCCAATTATCGGTATCGTATCGGTTTGGAAAAAAAGTGGTATTGTTGCATCCCAAGATGTTACTGATCGGGATGAGAGGAAGGAGACAGATAAATGATTTCTTTGTGCTTCAGACCTGTGGGATGCTTGACTCAGTCCTACCTGTATGAAAGAACCAGCATTCCTGGGCAGTTCACCTACTTCAGCACACGTGAGCAAAACAAAACCCCTCCTAAACAATTATCAGTGTTTGCCTTCTTACTGTTCACATTTATGATCAAATAACCATAATCACCACGTGCCAGAAAGCCACAAAGATTTTTAAAACTATGTTAAAAAAACTGGCATTAAATGATTGTTTGGGTCTGTTTTGTCATTATAAATCTATTTGAAAGCTTTTTATGAATTAAAGAGCAAGTCACCCCCATCAGAGTCTTAAGCCGGGCGTACACTGTGCGACTTTTTCACTTTTTTGAGCCGATTTTCCACTCGTGCGAGAATCTACAAGATCGGGGCGAGTTTTGCGCTGAGTGTCGTGTAGTGTACAGGGGGTTACGAGAGGCGATTAACACCACGTGACCAGCTACCGATCAGCAATCGTGAGTTCGCACGGACTTCTGGAGTTTTTGATAATTTGCTCGTTCCTCGTGAGGTTTGAAGTGGCGCAGCGAACGGCTGCAACCCAAAAAGTACCAGAACCGCTCACGGCGCATGCACAATCATGCATCACCGCTCACCCGCTACTTCCCTAATAGCACACGTTGTTTGATTTTATTTCTAAACGTTTTATTTTTACACACAGTGACAAGGATTGTCAATAAAGTGTGTTTGTCATGTTCCTGTCAAATTAAACTGATTACGAAACACAGATTTACTTTATTTTGTTTTCCTCATCCAACCCCCATAAATCCCTGTGTGTCCTCCTGCAACACTCCCGAAGGACAACAGGCAAAACAACACAGAAAAGTCTGACATGTTGTGTAAAAACTGCTATTTTTATCATATTTTTAGGTCTGACGTGTTGCTACCAGACGTACAGTGTGAGCAGTCAGGTCGCATCCGAGAACTGGGTCGTACAGTGTGAGCACATGACTCGTGAGATCTGCCCGGCGAGGAAGTCGTACAGTTTGAGCTGAAGCTGAGTGCTACGAGTGAAAAAGTCGCACAGTGTCCACCCAGCTTTCCTCCACTCTCACTTCCTGTTTGAAAAATGCAACAAATGCTGTTGCTTGACAGACTGAGAGGGTGGAGCCGCTAACAAATACACACACACACACACACACACACACACACACACAGACTTTGAACGGCATTGGGATATCATAGGGCAGCCAATAGTGATGGCAGATTTAAATTCAAATGTAGTGCAGAGTTTTACCTGAAGAGGGCGAAACACTGACAATTTCAGGTAAAAATTAAAATTTTACCTAAGATGCACTAAAGTCCCAAATTATTGACTACACGTGTTTATGGCATGATTAGACACTCATTTATATAGTTTATCAGCAAAATAAATGTTGATTTGGGGTGACTTGCTCTTTAAGTAGTTTGATTATGTTTGGTTTTAAATATATTTGTTATATTAAATTTTATATACTATTATATCCTTTTAATCCTCTTGTTGTTAAACAATACCTTTGACATTTTGTTTATTACAAGTAATTATACAGCATTACTGATATAATAAATCCAATTCTTCCATTTAAACTCTGTATGCTTGTAGATTTCATTATGGGTTTGTGTTCTGTGTCGTGTTGTTTTACTCCAGGTCATAACCAAGAGAAGGACATCACTGTGGTGGAAACAAACTACACTGAATACGCTTTGGTTGTCAAACACAAAGAGTTTAACAGAGAATACACCCAGGTGGCACTTTATGGTGAGGCTCAAAACACGTGCAGACTTCTCACTTTGTTTAGAGAAGTCCTTCACCGAGAAACCATTTTTTATTTATTACTTTTGAAAATGATTGTTCAATCTGAGTTTTTAATGCAGGCTGAACATGAAAATACTTTCCTACACCGACCTCCAAGGATGGCTGTTGTTGGTTTAGCGTCCAGGAAACAGCTGAGAGCGTCTCGACTAGTAGAAGCTAATTGTTTGCATTAGCAACTCCACCACACAGTAGAACTCCTTTTGGCTTGTGTTATTTGTGAAGATAAAACATCAACATAGCAGAACAAAGGGAGTCCGCGGTAGAGTCGCATTGCTGTTAGCCAATTTGTAGCAAGATGTTAAAATGTCAGGAAATAAGACTCCAAATCCTGTCATCTGAAGCTACTTTCTCCTCTGGCAAATTCTCAGTGTTGAAACAGGCGCGCTGGAGCTTTTTTTCCCCCAGAGTATGATTTAAGAGGCATTCATACCTACTAGAGACCACTGCAAATGTATTGAAATATGAGTGAAGAACCTCTTTAACCTTTAAAGCCTGAAATGTGAAATAATAACAAATGTGCCTAGAGCTGATTTTAGAAAAAATATGTTACAATCCAATCCATGCATAATATTGATAGAAAAAATATAACAGCAATGAAGAAATGAAATTGGCCCTCACCATCTGTAGATCCTCTACTAGAGGGCAGTAGACACGTATAGATCTGGAAATGGCAGGTTTGTGATGAAGATACTGATTCTGACACTCCACAGAGGCTTTAAGGTCAGAAATGGTTTGATGTGAATTTAAGACAATCGTGTCAAGAAAGTTGAAGTTTCAGCTCCTCTGAAGGGTCGCTGTAGTTCACCTGTACTCTGATTGCATCTCAGGTCGCTCTTCCAGAGTCCGGGCTGAAGTCATCCAGAAGTTCAAAGCACTCGCACTATCTCAAGGCTTCCCCAGAGAGTCTATTCTAACTCCACCTCCAGCAGGTAAAATAGGACAGTTGTTCATACATATAAACACACACACACACACACACACACACACACACACACACACAGATCAAGTATTCTTATTTGTACGTTGTCTTGTCTCTCCAACAGAGAACTGTCCACCAGGATCTGGACGTTAGGTAACTGTTCATATCTGTAGAATGAGTTTGTGTTTGTGTTACTGACGACAACATAACAACTCTTCTAAATAAACACGTTATTATTACTCCTCAGGTTTCCTGATTTACTGCGGATGAAGGAGGCTTCAATCATTCAGCATCAATCTGAAGCGATAATTTCCATAACTTTGTGGGAAACAAATGTTCCTAACAGAATTCGTACTTTGGCATCAGTAATTTCTGTAGTTGTTTTTTTTTCATTCCTTCTATTCTTAAAGGTGCAGTGTGTATGAGTATAGTGAGAATTTTACAGTGAGAAAATCCCAAAAGAGTCTAATGTTACAGTCATTTAGGAAGGAAGGTTCTACTGAAACATGTTTCATATCCAGCTAGCTGCTGGACTGTCAGTTTTTCTCCCTTCAAAACAAAGGAAGGAGGGACGTAACGACTGTTTACCATCAGTCAGCGTGGGGTTGCCGTGTCTCCTGCGAGCGAATACTGCAGCGCCGACAGTTGTAATTAGACGGCTGGCAAAAAGTTTCAGAGTTGTTTAAAGTGGTTCCAGTAAGCACATTTTACCACAGAATGTCATTTTTACTTTATTTCTACAAATTTCAATAAAAACAAAGATATTAAGCATTTTATAAATTTTATGTGTATATATATATATACATTATCATGTTAATCTTTTCTGGTAACAAAAGGAAAGTGGAAAGGCAGATCAACCACATATGCTGTATCTTACTGAAACAGACACAAACTCAAAGCTGGAAAACGTAGAATACAAAAGCAAAAATCATTGCTTGTTGCTGGAAAATAAAAAAAATGTGCAGTTCAAAATTTAACTAAAACAATCTTTACAAGTTTCCTAAACTAACTTATCCATTTTCATCCGCTTATCCGGAGTCGGGTCGCGGGGGCAGCAGCCTAAGTCGAGAGGCCCAGACTTCCCTCTCCCCAGCCACTTGGGCCAACTCCTCCAGGGAAATCCCAAGGTGTTCCCTGGCCAGGTGAGAGACATAGTCCCTCCAACGTGTCTTGGGTCTACCTTTAGGCCTCCTCCCATTTGGACTTACCCGCAAAACCTCACCAGGGGAGGCATCCAGGAGGCATCCTGACCAGATGCCCGAGCCACCTCAACTGGCTCCTCTCGATGTGAAGGAGCAGCGGGTCTACTCCGAGCCCCTCCCAGATGACTGAGCTTCTCACCCTATCTCTAAGGGAGAGCCCAGCCACTCTCTGGAGAAAACTCATTTCGGCCGCTTGTATCCGCAATCTCGTTCTTTTGGTCACTACCCAAAGCTCATGACCATAGGTGAGGGTATGAACGTACAACTGGTAAATTGAGAGCTTTGCTTTCTGACTCAGCTCTCTCTTCACTGCGACAGACCGGTACAACGCCCGCATCACTGCAGATGCAGCACCAATCCGCCTATCGATCTCACGCTCCAGATTTCCCTCACTCATGAACAAGACCCCGAGATACTTCAACTCCTCCACTTGGGGGAGGACCTCATCCCTGACCTGGAGAAGGCATTCTACACTTTTCCAATTAAGACCATGGTCTCAGATTTAGAGGAGCTGATTCTCATCCCAGCTGCTTCACACTCAGCTGCGAACCGCTCCAGCGAAAGCTGAAGATCACGTTCTGATGAAGCCAACAGGACCACATCATCTGCCAAAAGCAGAGACCTCATCCTCAGGCCACCAAAACGGATCCCCTCCACACCTTGGCTGCACCTAGAAATCCTGTCCATAAAGGTTATGAACAGAATCTGTGACAAAGGGCAGCCTTGGCGGAGTACAACTCTCACTGTGAACGAGCCCGACTTACTACCGGCAATGCGGACCAAGCTCTGACACCGGTCATACAGAGACCTAACAGCCCATATCAGAGGGCCTGGTACCCCATACTCCCGGAGTACCCCCCACAGTGCCCCCCGAGGGACGCGGTCAAACGCCTTCTCCAAATCCACAAAACACATGTAGACTGGTTGGGCAGATTCCCATGCACCCTCCAGGATCCCCCTAAGGGTATAGAGCTGGTCCAGTGTTCCATGGCCAGGACAAAAACCACTTTTCTCTTCCTGAATCTGAGGTTCAACAATCAGACGGATCCTCCTCTCCAGAACCCCTGAATAGACCTTACCAGGAAGGCTCAGGAGTGTGATCCCCCTGTAGATGGAACACACCCTGCGGTCCCCCTTTTTAAATAAGGGAACCACCACCCCGGTCTGCCAGTCAAGTGGGACTGTCCCCCGATATTGCAGAGCTACGTCAACCAACACAGCCCCACAACATCCAGAGCCTTAAGGAACTCTGAGCAGATCTCATCCACCCCTGGAGCCTTGCCACAGAGGAGATTTTTAACCACCTCAGTGACCTCAGCACCAGATATTTGAGAGCCCAACTCAAAGTCCCCAGACTCTGCTTCTTCACTGGAAGATGTGTCGGTGGGATTGAGGAGGTCTTCGAAGTATTCTGCCCACCGATCCACAACATCCTGAGTAGAGGTCAGCAGCACACGGTCCCCCACTATAAATAGTGTTGGTAGCGGTGGACCAGAATCTCCTCGAAGCCATACGTCTTGCTCCATGGTCTCACCAAACTCCTCCCACGGCCGGGTTTTTGCCTCGGCGAAACTAAATTATTCAAAATAAAAATTACAAATTAAAATCAACTGTATCTAAATAATAAAAGCAGGTCTCAGTTAAATTTGATTAAAATGTACTGTTTTGTTGATTTTAAAGTGCACTGGTCTTTTTTGTTTGTGCTGTTTTATTCCTGGAAAGCACACTGAATTGACTGTATGAAATGTGCTGTTTGAATAAAGAATAAAATATTATAGTGCAAGAAGCCAATGTTTTGTTGAGAGGAAGCAGGGAATCAGTTGGTTGGGTTTTACTGACATCTGAAATTCTCACACTATTGCAGGGGTGGGCAATTATTTTTTCCATGGGGCCACATGAGAAACAGAAAATATTGTGGAGGGCCAGGCCAAAAGGCTGAAGTCAATTATGCATAATATTAATGGTATTTCTTTATAAAAAGCAGTAAATACCATTGTTTTTTCAAGCTGGTAAGAGTAGACTATATGTTATAAATGAGCAAAAAGGAAAACGTGATTTATTCAAATTTCCCAAGTCAATGGTAAACAAAGTGAGCGCATTTGATTTTTGTTTAACATTTGTGACTTATATTAGTTAACAGTTTTAGTCACATTCACTCCAAAACATACTTAGAGTTTCAAATATTGTTGGAAAGAGGTTGTTAGCATCCTACAGACACACAGTATTGTCTGTAAAATAAAATCACTGAACTGTGATCTTGAGAAAATGGTTAAAAAAAAAAGTGTCCCAGTTCACTGCTAGTTGCCTACATTTGTGGTCCAAACACGTTATTTTGTGTTTTTAAGCGATTTTTTTCATATTCAGTGAGAGAAATCTAGTCTCTGCTGGGCTTTAACGAGTGCATCAAAGTCAGGTTGAATGTCTGAGGAGGAGATGCGAAGCACAGCTGACAAATGATCAGTGAGAGAGGATCTATACCTGGATTTTGTAAACTTCATAATTGAAAGTGTTTGTTCACAAATGTAGGTAGAGCCGAAGAGAACCAACATCTTCTGAGCATGTGTCACGTTTTGAAGGGATGTTAAAACCCAAAATGCAGAACCCAGGATGACACGAGGCAGGGATGAAGGTTAAGTAAAAATACTTAAAATAAATTTAAAGCTGGGAGCCAAAAACCAAACCAGATCAAGAACTGGAAATCCAAAAATGCAGGTTATACACAGAGACGTGAATGACAGAACTACAAACACACTGACAGCAACAATGGACCGACAAACACAGAGTGACAAGACAAGGCTTATAAACAGGAGGGAAGTAATCAGGGAAACAGGTGACAGGTGTGAGGAGTGTGAGCTGAGGAGACACTGGTGGAATCAATTAACAAAATGGGAAGGGAAGGAGCTTGACCAGAGGGCAGATAAACATTAACTTATAAACACAAAACTAAACCTAAAGACTGAGGGCCAAAAACAAACAACTAATAACTAGACGGATGAGGAGGACTAAATAAAGATTGATTAGGAATGGGGAATGATTAGAAGGACACCTGAGGGAAGTCTACAGAGGGCTGGAGATAATAATGGCACACAAGAGGATGACCTGGAGTGGGAACTGGAGGGGTTGGGAAACAAAGGGACACAGAACATGACAGCATGTCTCCTCAGGTTTGGAAAGTTCTCCTCCTTAAGAGAAGAGTAGAAATCCAGCAGAGATCCTGATTTAAAGTGCTCTGCCAGTACTGAATCAGACTGCAGGTCAATGAGTTCCAACTGCACATCACTGGGTGCATTATCCACACTGCAGGTACAGGGAGAGGAAATCATGTGCATTTCATCCTTGATTGTTCTGAGATCTTCAAAACGCCTTGAAAACTCATCATGTAATGCTCCTAACATGGATGAGTACCTGCTGAGGTGATCAGTTGATGGTGTGACTTGGTTCAGGGTTTGCATGTGAGTGAGAGTGTTGCTCTCCAGTTGACTTGAAAGAAACTGCAGCTTTTTCATGAAGGCCTTCACGAGGCTGTGCATTTCATGAACAAAAAGGCCCTTGCTTTGCAGTCTGGTGTTCAGTTCTTTCATCAGTGCAGTCACATCAACAGCAAATGCAAAATCTGCCATCCAGTCCTCATCTGAGAGCTCTGGAATGTCTTTGCCTTTCCTCTCGCAAAACTCTCGAATCTCTGCTTTCAAGTCCCAAAACCTCTTCAGCACTTTCCCCAGGCTGAGCCATCTGACAGCTGTGTGGGGTCCTCCAAAAGAGCGACAAACTGTCTGTGATTCGTTGCCCGCTCCCTGATGAAGTTTATTATTTTAGTAACAACATCAGTAACATGGTTGATTTTTAGCACTGACTTGCACAACACATGTTGGTGTATAATACAATGCAAAAACACCAATTTTTGATCTGCATCGATTTCTGTCACTTTATCTTGCATGTGTTTCAAAAGTCCGACATTTTTCCCTGTAAGATTTGGACAACCGTCTGTTGTGACACCTGACAGTCTCTCCCATTTCAATCCCAGAGTGTCCATGCACGCATTTACCTCTGTAGAACGATCACTCCCTGTCGTTGTCCCTTTCATCGACCTCCTCTGTGAGCTTGAAGTCCGTTATCTCCCGGACAAATACGAGCAGCTGGGCTGTGTCGCGGACATCACAGCTCTCGTCTAAGGCCAATGAGAAAAAGTCAAAACTTGCCACTTCACGTTGCAGCTGAAGCTCCAGGTTCCCCACAATGTCCTCGATCCTCCTGGTCACGGTTCGCCTGGACAGTGGGATTTGCTCAAATGCGCCTTTTTTTCAGGGCATATTAGTGCGGCAGAGTCCACCATGCACTCTTTGACAAACTCTCCCTCTGAAAACGGCTTGCTGTTTTTAGTTATTTTGTGGGATATCACAAAGCTGGTCCTGGTTGCTGCATCCCTGGATGTGTGAAGCTTAGTAAAAAAGCCTTGCTGCTTTTGCAACTTTGCTAGCAAAGCTTCAGATGTCCGTGCCCTCTCAGCATCAGACAAGTTCTTGTATTTTTTCAAGTGTTGCTTGTCGTAATGCCGACTCAAATTGTAGTCCTTAAACACGGCAATCTCCTCCCCGCAAACCAAACACACGGCTTTACCTCCGACTTCAGTAAAAAAAAATACTTAGCAGTCCAATTTTTGTTGAAAATCCTGCATTCGGCATCTATCTTTCTTTTTTTTTTTGCATGAGCGGACATTTCTGGGGGCTACAATCACCATGTCAACCGCGGGTGCGGGCACCTGTTGCTATACGTATTGCGTCATTGTGTATGTAAAAAACAACTTCAAAATAAAAGCAATGCAGCCTTAGTCAATGCATGAGGTAAAATGAGAAAATACATTTATTTTGTAATTTCCAATTATTCTTACGCAGGCCGGTCAAAGTCAACCAAAGGCCGTAAAATGCCCAGGTTTGCACTATTGCAAACAATCATGTAAAATGTGAAGAATCAATTATATGCCTTGTTTGTTTGTTTATATGTTAATATTTATTTTTGACTTAGCTCAGTGGCCTAGTGGTATGAGTGTCTGCCCGGGACTGGGAATCAAGGTTCAAATCTGGCCAGGTCATACCAAAGACCTTAAAAATGGGACCCAATGCCTCGCTGCTTGCCCCTCAGCTTTAAAAGGTTTGGAATGGGGGTTAAACCACCAGATAGTTCCCGAGCACAGCCACTGCTGCAGCTCACCCCTCCCGACATGTCAAATGCCGAGGACAAATTTCACCACACACCAGTGTGTGTGTGTTTGTGTGTGTGACAACTGACTGACTTTAATACTAAGGACATTTTTCGTTATTTCAGATTATCAGAAAAATTGATGTTGAAGACATTTTTTTTAATTCATGCTCAAATAGTTTTTCATAAACCACATGATAAATTACTTTTTTTGTTACATTTCTTCTTTAAACTTTTTTTCTTGTTACATTGTTTTACTAAAATCTAAAATAAAACTCAGGTCATTACCTGCCAACATGGCGGGTTGTTCTGATTTGTGTTCATGTACTTAAAAGAACCCTCAGACAGAACAGGCAGCTGTGTTTACAATCTAAAATGTGTTCTAAAAGCTATAAATAGCCCAACAAACAAGCTCCAACATGATAAGCGTCACACATATGAATTATTAACAAATAACTCCAAGCAGCTCAATACTCTGAGAAATACCTCTCACAAATGTACTCCAAAGCAGCTAAATGCAAGATTGTGTCTCCCTGAATGAAAACACTGCACCAAGCAGTGACATTGCCTTTTCCCCACTCATCAGCTGTTAAAAACTAACGTGTATTGATTGGTTGTGTTTGCTGGTAGCTTCAAACTCCGAAGTCCAGGGATTCTTGATTGAATTAAGCAACAAGCATGTTTGTGTTTACGGAGAAACAGGACAGAAACTCCTCCTCAGAGTTTCTCTGTAGTGATGTAGGAGGGAATTCACAAACTGAACTGGGCTCAGTTCCACAGATATGTGGATGGTGGTAGAACTTCCATGCTCACAGAAACAGACCAAGTCTGACCTACAGGATGCATACAGCAGTGTGTTTGGTGCCTCTTCTGGTCCTGGGGGTGACCTGGAGCCTCCAAAACAATCAGATCCTCACACAGGAGTACTTTGATTTTGAGCAGGTGAGTAGTGTGTTAACTCCTCTGTTGTAAAGTCATATTTAACCCAAAAATGTTTAAAAATCTTGAAAAGGACATTTCAGTTCAAGGTTGGTAATTTCTGCTCTTTAACTCCAGGTTTTTCTTTAGACAAACCACTTCACATAAACATATTCATTTAGGGTTACACTATTGCTTTGCATCATATATATATATATATATATATGTGTGTGTGTGTGTGTGTGTGTGTGTATGTATACCGGTGGCTGGGTTTATTGTTGCATCAAATTGCTTTGAATCATTTGTGTCATTTCGTGGTCAACTTGCAGATGGTGCAAATTAAATGTCTGCGTTTTCCTCACAGTTTATTGGAAGATGGTATGAGATAGCTGTGATTTCCACCTGTCCTCACTTCATGCTGCGTAAAAAGGGAAACCCTGTCATGTTTGCATTGGAGCTGAAGAATGCAACTTCTGAGGGCATCTTTACAATGACAGCCTCCACTTTCAGGTCAGACTAGCAAGCATACAGTCAAACCCAAAATATAGTTGTTTCAAAACAGCTTTGATGTGTCTAATTTCAGGAATGGCTCATGTGAGGAGTCCACCACAAATTATAGTTTGACCGGCACCCCGGGGCGGTTCTTTCACCATGTTGCAAGTGTGTTGTACAGGATTCTTTCCTACGTTTGTTCCATATGAAAGTACTTCTGCAAAGTGAAACCAACATTTGTATCTGCAGGGTTCAATGCAGACGTGGATTCCTTTGTGGTTCACACCAACTATAACAAGTATGCTATGATTCTGCAGCTGAGCACAGAGAAACCATCGGGAAATAAAACCACCATTGTCAAGCTTTACAGTGAGTGATAACTCATTATACCTGTGGTGGATAGCTCTCTGAACAACCTCAGTTTGGAGAAATGGAGTTTAGTTCGGATCCATTACATGAACAGCTAGTCACGACCAGGTCATTTAATGAAATTCATACAATAAAAATAATTTATCAAGGAAATTTACTGGGTTTAACATGTAATTTAACAAATACTGTTTCACTTTTTTTTTTTACTTGTTCCTAATTATCCCCCTACCCCTCTGCCCATCAGGCCGAACAGTGACTGTCACTCCTCTTGTTCTGGACCAATTTAAAACACTGGTCAGACAACATGGAATCAAGGAAGACGCCATAATCATCAATCAGCACAAAGGTTTTAGGCCTTTATTTGTGTTTTTGACACACCCCACATATATGGATGACAGACACTCCACATTTTCTGCATATTCTCATACTTACAGGTGAATGTGCTCCAGGTGGTCAGATGACTGAGGCGAATACTTCACCCACAGGGATCTGAACCACCGATCTACATTACTCAGTCACAACTGGTTTGTTTGTTTTACATTCATCTGTTTGTTGCTTATTGGTCAAAATAAATTATGCAGCTACTTACATTTCCTGTAGAAGAAAATTACAGTGCTATCTGACCAGGTGAGAGGATGGATGATTTAGCTGCACATATGAACATGGATTTATCTCTTGTGTTTGGTAGTTAAAGTGCAAAACACTCCTGCAGTTATTATTTTACTATAGAAATGTCAATTAACTGATCTTTCTTCTACATTTGTCTTTTTTAAAGATTTGTTAAAGCGTTAACAGTGTGAAATATGCTTCAATGATTTAAAATGCTGTACGATTTGAGTTTTCAGGAAATGCAACTCACTTATTACATTTTGAAGTTCCTATTCATTTTTTTATTTCGTACCTTTTACACTGTTTATAAAAATGTGTGAGACAAAGGGTGATGTCACATGGATAAATCTGTTTGCTGTTTCAGGACGAGAGATCATGAAGACAGAAGAGGAGGAATGCAAAAGAGATGAAGTTTTAAATCTGAAACGTTTTCCTCAAATAAATAAACGGATTACTCTTTAATAGTATACATTTAGAATTATTTAAACTATTTCCATTTGAGTGAATAAAATGTAATTGTAAATCGCCCTTCATGGGGTAAACGCTGCAAAGCGCTTCACAACAAAGCAAATGAGATGTAGAGGTCGTAATAAAGAGAAAAATAAATGCAGCTCACATGGTTGGAAGCAACAACTAGATGGTTGGGATAAAAGACCAGGACACACCTCAAGTCAAGATTCTTGTTAAATACAGCGCTAGAGACTAGAACGGAAACCCTTGTAAGCCTTACAGACATGAAGCAGTAACATTAGAAAGTGATCTTAACAAACATAAACTTAAGATTTAACTGCTGTCAAAACTACAGCCCTAAAACACACTTAAACCTCGGAACGTCCATCAATCCTCATAACTAGAAACTAAACAAGCTAAACAAAGATGAGACTGAAGTTATTGTCTTTGGCAACAAGAAGATTAGAATGAATGTTATTGCTCAGCTGGACTCCAGGGGAATAAAGACAAAAACCCAGGATAGAAATCTTGGTGTTATTATTGACTCCGACCTGAGCTTCCCTGGACATCTTAAGGCTATAACTGAATCAGTGTTTTTATCACCTAAATCAAATAGCAAGAGTCAGAGGTCTCAGGTCCAGACTAGACTTAGAGAAACTTATTCATGCTTTTATTTCTGGTCAGCTGGACTACTGCAATGGTCTCCTAACTGGTCTTGCCCAAAAAAAAAGCAGTAAAGCAACTGCAGCTTGTTCAGAATGCTGCTTCTAGAGTCTTAACAAGAACTAAGAGAATAGAGCACATCACTCCTGTTCTTAGATCTCTACGCTGGTTACCAGTAAACTACTGAATATATTTCAAAGTGCTCCTACTAGTTTATAAATCACTCAGTGGCATGGGACCAAAATAAATGTCCAATCTCATTCCTGTATATACACTCAATAGGGCTCTGAGATGAAAACTAAAAACCCTAATGTACTCATCAGCATTTTAAAAGCATTGTTTCTTATGTTGTGTTATCTCCACTGCAATCTGTGCTGCAACGTTGTCTTCTCCTTTAGCTCTAAACTGTATTTCTATCTATGTGTATTTTAATTTGTGTTTTTGTGTTGTATTTATGTCATGTCCTGATAATTGTAAAGCACACTGAATTGACTCTGTATTTGAAATGTGCTCTAGAAATAAAGCTGCCTTGCCTAGAACCCCTCTTGCAGCCTTAATAACAGAGATTAATGTCATTAATTAATACTAATAAATAAAAGTGCTTTATTTACTTTTAGAAGTAGAAGATTTTATGTTAAAATCTCTGAACTGACAAAAAAGACAGTATAAATGAATGAAATTGGCCCTCATCACGTTTAGATCCTCCACCAGAGGGCAGTAGACATGTATAGGACTGGACACAAACTCAATCCCAGCTGGAGCCTTTCTGAGTGGAGTTAGCATGTTCCACCCTGCATGCATGGGATTTCTCCGGGTGCACCGGTTTCCTCCCACAGATCAAAATCTTACATATTTAGTTACCTGGTGACTAAATCATCTCTAGATGTGAGTTTGTGAATGGTTGTATGTGGCTCTGGACCAGCTACCTGTCCAGGCTCTAGCTCATTGACTGCTGGAGACAGACAGCAGCTCCCCATGACTCTACTGAGGAAAAGTGTGTAAGTGTCTTCTGTAAGTGACCAAAAATGATCTTTATGTCTATGTGAGTGGATACAGCCTGGCCACGAACCAAAGGAACTTAGAAGCTGAATCTACTGTTGTTTACTGTTGTCTTTCAAACTGTATTTACACACAATTTAGTCGGTGCTAGAACCAACCAGAGCAACCAGGGGTGCAACTATCTACTTTCTGAGAGGCAAGCAGAAACATTCCAGGACAATTTATGGAACAAAGTCCAACCAAGATGCTTTAATTTATTTGTTTTTCTTGTTTTTAATAAACTATATGCTTCAGGCCCAGGGATGGAGTCCTGGAGTTTCATGCCTCAGACACTTTAAATGGTAAATAGCTAGGTTCCTCTAGGGGTCTTGTTTTTGTTGAGGCATAGAAAGTTGGTCGAAAGGCAGGGTTTTTTTTTTTTTTTTTTGCAGAGGCAAATACATTCTTGTTTTTAATAAATGTCTTGAAGAGGTCCTTCACTGAGAAACTTTTTTTTTCTACTTATTCTTAAACATGATGTCACTTTTAGTTTAATATGGAGGCCGAACATGCAGGCTAAACCTGTCTTCTGCATTAGCTACTGGTAGAAAATAAGACGGTGAAACTTTAGGATTTGAAAAGCCTGACACACACCGTCACTTAACATTCATGGACTCACCCATCTTGGCTTGTGACAGGGAAGGCTGTTGTTGGTTTAGCCTCCAGGAAACAACTGAGAACATCTCGACAAGTAGGGGCTAACCGTTAGCATTATCAACTCCACCACGCAGCAGAACTCCTACAGGCTTGTGTTATTTGTGGTGATAAAACATCAACGTCACAAAGCAAATGGACTCAGTGGTAGCGTCATGTTAGCCAATCAGAGACGAGATGTCCAAATATCATTAAATCCTGCTGTCTGAAGCTACTTTCTTCTATGGCTGACTTCTCTGTCCTCAAACAGGTGTAACAGAGCTTTTATTCCAATTTACAAGGCATTGCACGAGTCTAAATAGTCCAGAGTTGATGCCAAAACTATTTCAAATGAGCTGATGCAATCTTTGTTGTTTTTCTCCATCACTCATCACTAACCTTGCCCAACAAACAGCGCTGTGATAGAGCAGACAAAAAACTGTTTGAGCCAACGTTAGACCTGCTGAGCCTACAATAGAGCGTGGCTAGCCCGACCTGCAGATTAAAATCTTTTTGCTAATGTATGGTTGGTCTAGATTTCTCGGCTAGCAGGTTTTAGGGACATCGGGCTTTTTTCTTTTCAAAATTCCTGACATATCAAGCTTCTTGTCTCAGTGATGACATTGGTTGTGTTGAAATAGTTAAAAGGTGTTGATCTCTTCTGAACACCAACACAATAAAAAAAGAATAAAGACACGCTGAGAACAGAGTCAAAAGCAGATTCTTGCACAAACTAGCATACATGTATTGATCCGTCAGTATTGCTGCAACTCTGAAGTCCAATGTGTAGGCACCTGGCTACTTACTAGAGAGTCACAGAAAATCAGAACTTTGCTCCCTTTTTGTTTGTTTGTTACTCAGCTGTAGGAGTGATTACATTCAGAGGGTCATCACTGTCAGAGCTCTTCAAAGATCAGAGTGGATTGGTTCCTCGCTTCGAAAAACAGTCCAAAATGATGCATAAAACATCTTTTATGGTTTCTCTGCTGATCCTGGGATGGATCTGGACCCTTGAGGCTCTCCCGGTTCTCCCAGATCCACTTTTTGCCACACAGGAAAACTTTGATGTGAGCAAGGTGAGAGGGTAAACTTTTCTGCTGTTTTCAGGATCAGGATGTTTCATGTGGGTAGAATTGATTTTAATAAAAGTTAAATTATCATTGTCACTGATGACAGTTTTTGGGAACATGGTATGACATTGCTGTGGCGACTGCATGTCATCCCATGAGGCATTCGAGTCCCAGAGGAGAGGTCGCCATTGGCAAACTGGTGCTACAGAGAGGTCCCACAGAAGGAAAGATCAAGATGAAACGAAGAGTTCTAAGGTTTGGATTCAAATATGTTTCACTCCTAACTCAAGGCCTCTTCTAACAACAAAAAACAAAACAAATACGCTAAAAAATACCTGATATTGATTCCATTTACGGATGCTTTCATTGATCATTTGCTTATTCAAAATATTTCTCTGCTCTTCAATAGTCTAAATATTTACGTAATTAAAAATCATGGGAAAAGGGGAGCCAAGTTTGAACTTTTTAAAATAAAATTAAATGCATTATATGAAATAGGACCCAAAGTAATAACCTGGAAAACAGTCCAGAATTTGTACAAAGAAGTAAACCGGCACATCTTCCGGGGACTCTCCAATCTATGGGCCGAGAAAGAAAGAAAGAAAGAAAGAAAGAAAGAAAGAAAGAAAGAAAGAAAACGAGCACCTCTCAAGCTAAAAAATTATGAGGCGCTTGAACAGGTGAGTGTTCAGCTGTAAGGACTGAGAAGATCACCAATGTAAGATGGTGCTTGTCCATGTAAGGCCCTATAGACCAGAACCAGGATCTTGAAATGAACCCTGAAGTTGACTGGCAGCCAGTGAAGCTGGAGGAGAAGCGGGGTGATGTGGGTGTGTTTGGAGGACTTAGTCAGAATCCGAGCACAGGCATTCTGAACCACCTGTAGACGGTTCAGGGAGGTTCTGCTCAGACACGTGAAAAGAGAGTTACAGTAGTCTAAGCATGAGGAGATGAAGGTGTGGAGAACTGTCTCAAGTTCAAAGTGGGACAGAATGGGACTCAGCTTAGCAATGTTCCTGAGATGGAAGAAGGAAGAGCGAACAAGAGAACTGACATGAGAATCCAGGGTGAGAGCTGGGTCAAAGGTCACACCAAGATTCCTGACAGAAGGTTTGAGGTGAGAAGCAAGCTGACCAAGACAGTTTGACTTTGGGAACCAGCTTGTCTGGGGCACAGATGAGGATCTCAGTCTTATCTTCATTCAGCTGTAGAAAGTTCCCAGCCATCCAGGTTTTAGTAGAGTCTAAGCAGGAGTGTAACAATCAATCAGATGTATTTATAAAGCGCTTTTCAAACAAAGTGCTTTACAAAATGATCCCAGATTCCCATAACAGGTTAAAAACAATAACAGACATATGCAAGCACACACGCACGCACACACACACACACATACACACACACACACAAGAAAACTTATATTTGGCTGAGTCCAGATGAGCCAAGTAAGATAAGGCAAGGAAACACCATCAGAGGAGCCGTCTGCCCCGGCAGCATCAGGTCTTCCACACTACGTCAGGGCGCTCAGTGGAGGGGGAGCATAGACCCCCACCTCCACTTAAACACTACCTGTAGAGCGCCCAGGAAGCAACAGTCGACCACCGCCCCCGGGGCAGAGGGCCCCTACAGAGAAAACACTGGATTAAAATGGGTAAGAACATAATAAAAGAGCTAATATAAGGGACAAAAGTTAGAAAATAAGTAATAAATAAAATCATATAGACAGTAAAATAATAATATTAAATAATGAAACAGTGCTAAAATATAATCATATAAAACATGCAAAGCAAGCAATAACATATAATCATGTAAAACGAAAAATAAAACTGTAGTAAATATTTAGATAAAAGCTAACCTAAATAGATGGAAGAAAGAAATGAATGGGTCTTGAGCCTGGACTTAAAAACATGAACATTCTCTGCGGCCCTGAGGTCCTTTGGCAGCTCGTTCCAGAGGCGAGGGCTGTAATACTGGAAGTACGCCTCACCGTGAGTGTGTGTCCTAACTTTAGGGATGACCAGGAGACGGCTGCCAGAGGAGTGCAGAGGCCGTGAGGGTTCATATGGTAAAAATAGTTCTGAGAGATAAGAAGGCCTAAGACCAGTAGGACACCTAAAAATCATTAGAAGAACCTTAAAATTGATCCTGAAACATACGGGGAGAAATGCAATGATTCTAAAACTGGTGTCATGTGCTCCCTCCTCCTGGTCTTCATCAGGACACGTGATGCCGAATTTTGTAGAAGTTGTAAGTCTGAGATGCTCTTTTTATGAAAGACCAGAAAGCAGGGTATTAAAGTAGTCTATCCTACTGGTGATAAAAGCATGCATCAGCATCTCCGTGTTGGCCCGAGAAAGAATGAGGTGGACTCTGGCGATGTTCTTTAGAAGATAAAAAACTATTTTTGTGATATTTTTAATGTGCGGGATAAAAGTCAGCTCAGAGTCAAAAATCACACCCAGGTTCTTCACTTGTTCAGATGGATTAAAAGACAGAGATTGTAATTTTGGTAAAAGCCTCTTTTTCTGGGCCTCAGGACCAATGACTAAAACTTTAGTTTTGTCCTGGTTGAGCTGGAGAAAGTTCTCTGCCATCCAGGATTTGATGTCTAAAATACAGTTAAAAAGTGCATCCACTGGCCGAGAGTCATCAGGAGGCACGGAGATGTACAACTGTGTATCATCAGCATAACTGTGAAAGTTGACCCCGTGTCTCCTGATGACACCGCCAAGAGGGAGCATTTAAAAATTAAAAAGCACTGGGCCTAAAATTGAACCCTGGGGCACACCACATGTAATCCCATGGACCCTAGAGGAACAGGTATCCAAACTCACCATGAAAGTCCTGTCTGTGAGGTAGGATGTGAACCTTTTATGTACAGAACCAGAGAGGCCGATCTGTTTTAAACGAGTTAAAAGAACAGTGTGGTCTACTGTATCGAAGGCAGCACTTAGATCCAGTAGAACCAACACTGTCAACTTACGTTTGTCGTAATTTACTCTAAAATCATTTAAAATCTTCAGAAGGGCTGTCTCGGTGCTGTGGTTCACCCTAAAACCAGACTGAAATTTCTCTAGGACATTATGAGTGTTTAAAAATCATTTAGTTGATTTAAAACCAACTTTTCTAAAAATTTTGCTTAAAAATGGTAAGTTGGATACCGGTCGATAATTGTTTAATTCATTAAAATCTAGATTGCTCTTCTTCAACAGGGTCCTCACCACCACCCTTTTAAAGGCAGCAGGAAAGACCCCCACCTCCCTGAAGGGAGCAATTCATCAGGGTTAAAATGTCATCACTAAAAGATCCATAGAATTGTTTAAAAAACGAAGATGGAATTGGGTCCAGAACACATATGGTGGGTCTCACTGAGGAGAAAACTTTATCAAGAGTCTCAGCTTCTACCAGGACAAACCTGTCCAGTGTTTCCTCTGGTATAGGCACACATTCAGATTTATCTAAAACCTTATTACTTAGGGACGGGAAAATATTCCTTCTGATGGTGTCTACCTTCCCTCTGAAGTGGACTGCAAACTCCTCACAGAGTGCATTTGAGGGTGTTTTCTGAAGTGAATTGGATGTACGGTTTAAAATGTTGTTTATGGTGGAAAAAAGTATTCTGGGATTGTGTTTATTGTCTAGAATGAGTTTGGAAAGGTATGCATTTCTTGAAATTCTCACTGCATTATTATATGATTTAAGTAGCTCTGTATATATTTGATGATTTATAGTTGTTTTGTTCTTTCTCCATCTCCACTCTGCAACCCTGCAATTTCTCTTTAGTTTCTTTAGATTTTCATTTATCCACGGTGAAGCACGTTTTGAATATAGACTTTTGACTTTAAGTGGAGCGAGCAGGTCGAGAGCGGATTTCAGTCTACTGTTAAAATCATTGACAGTAAAATCACAAGAGGCAGTTACCGGAGTGGGAGGGATCTTTCTAAAAACTTCAAGAAAACCTGCAGCCACTTCAGGGGTGAGATAGAGTGATAATCAGATGTTTGTTCCTCGGGACAAACACTGTAAGCTGAGGTGTGTTGAGGTGTGCTGAGCTGAAGTGGTCAAAAAGTTTCTTGGGGAGGATGAGATCTGTTCGGGGGTACTCCGGGAATGTGGGGTACAAGGCCCTTTGATAAGGGCTGTTAGGTCCCTGTATGACCAGTGTCAGAGCTTTGCCCCCATTGCCAACAGTAAGTCGAGCTAGTTTCCGGTGAGAGTTGGACTCCGCCAAGGCTGCCCTTTGTCACAGATTCTGTTCATAACTTTTATGGTGTTGAGGGGATCTGTTTTGGTGGCCTAGGGATCAGGTGTCTGCTTTATGCAGATGGTGTGGTCCTTTTGGCTTCATCAGACAGTGATCTCAGCTGGAGCATTTCACAGCTGAGTGTGAAGTGGCTGGGATGAGAATCAGCTCCTCTAAACTTGAGACCATTGTCTTCAATCGGAAAAGGGTAGAATGCCTCCTTGACGCCTCCCTGGTGACGTTTTCTGGGCACATCCAACCCAGAAAAGACCCAAAAGAAGACCCAGGACATGCTAGAGAGAATGTGTCTCTTGGCTGGCCAGAGAATGCCATGGGATTCCCTGGAGGAGCTGGCCTAAGTGGCTGGAAAGAGGGAAGTCTGGGCCTCCCTGCTTAGGTTGCTGCTCCCGCGACCCGACTCTGGATAAGTGGATGAGACTGGACGAACGGATGGATAGATTCACAAAGACAATATTTGAAATGCTACAAAAAATGTCCCCAATTTTAGGACATTTTATCTAAATAATTAATCTGGGGCTTGCATCATGTTTAAACCACAAATTTAACCCAGTTAAAAAGAAAATCTGGATTCAGATCAACATCAAATGGCTCAACATTTCTGCACTAAACTGATGCACACATTTTGTCAACTTTTTATATAATGATTTATAATTTAAAAACATCAGACAGAGACTTGAAAATAAAAACACAATCTCCTGGCGTTTTTCGAGTAAAACTGAGGTTAGAAATCTTGGTGTTACCATTAACTCAGACCTGAGCTTCACTGGTCACATTAAAGCTGTAGCTAGATCAGCGTTTTATCATCTCCATCAATTGGCAAGACTCAGTGGTCTCATGTCAAAACAAGACCTAGAGAAACTTTTGTGTTCGTCTCCAGCAGGCTGGACTATTGCAATGGTCTTCAAACTGGTCTCCCCAAAACTGCTTTAAAACACCTGCAGCTTGTTCAGAATGCTGCTGCTAGAGTCTTAACAAGAACTAAAATAACCAAGCACATCACTCCTGTTCTTAAATCTCTACACTGGTTACCAGTATCAACTTGTACGTGTTTTTACTAGTCTATAAATTACTCAATGGCATGGGGCCAAAGTACATGTTGGATGTCCTTCCAGTATATACACCCAGCAGGGCTCTCAGATCCATAGGAAACAGTCAGCTGGCAGAACTTCGGGTCAGAACCAAACAGGGTGAAGCTGTTTTTAGTCACTATGCTGCACACAGATAGAATCAGCTTCACCAATTACCTCAAATGTGCCCCAACTCTAGTGAATCGAAATAAAAAACCTTCATGTTTTCATTAGCCTTTGAATAAATGTTCTTATGCTGCACCTTCTGCACTGTAACTGCTGCCCTTTTGACAATGCCTTTTATCTGTTTGCTGAATCCGAAATTTATACCTACGTTTCTTTGTTTGCTTTACTGTGTTTGCTGTTCTTGCTTCTGTAAAGCACTTTGAATTGTCTTTGTGATTGACATGTGCTATACAACTAAAGCTACTTTGCCTAAAATATTCAGTTATTAATTTCTCCTGAAGTAATTCTTCCTTTAGAGTCTAAACATTCCTGGAGGCAGTGAAGAAACCGACAGTATTTCACAACAATAATTTCAGATGTTTTCATTTTTGTTTTTTATAACTCTGACTAATTTTAACTAAATAAAATAAATCATTGAAGTTTTGCCAAATCTCTTTTTGCTCTCCCACTGAATTGATTTGTGTGCAGAAATGGAACGTGCACAGAGATGACTGGAGTTTATGAGCTGACCGCCACGCCAGGACGATTTTTCTACCATGTTCAAAGTATACTTTTCTGTTTGTTTTCATTTTTTTCTATCAGTAGAATCCCGCCTTCAGTGGAAAACAATAATATAATGACTCTTCTTCCTGCAGGGTGGGAGGCAGATGTGGATGCTTATGTGGTTCACACAGACTACAAAGAGTATGCCATTGTGCTCGACAGCAAACAGAAGGCGACGGGTGAAAAGAAAACCACGTTTAAACTTTACAGTATGTGCTCACAACTTTTTTCATTTTTCTGTTCTTTCTGTGCACACTGCTCTTTTTTATGCAAAGTTTGCCCTAAATCATTTTGATAAACCACAAAATAAAGGCCTTTTTGTTTCCTGTTATGTAAAAATATTCTAAATTCTAGTTATAGTAAACTAAACACATTTCTCACATGAATTTCTTCTTTCTTTTCTGTCTGAAGGCCGGACCATGTCTGTGAGACCAACTGTGCTGGAGGACTTTAAAACCCTGGTGAGAGAACAAGGAATGCCTGATGACAACATCATAATTAAAAAGAATAAAGGTAAACAAACATGACAACAAATACCTCCAGAGCGCAGCCACAGCTGCAGCTCACCGTTCCCCACGGGTGACTAATGGGACTTTGTTTCAAATATTTTATGTCCCAGGAGATTTTTTATTATTATTATTATTATTATTATTATTATTATTACTACTACTACTACTACTACTACTACTACTACTACTACTACTACTACTACTACTACTATTATTTATTAGTTATTATTATTACAGCAGTGGCTCAGGAGGTTGAGCGGGTTGTCCAGTAATCAGAAGGTTGCAGGTTCAATCCCGGCTTCCACCAGAGAATGCTACTGTTGTGTCCTTGGGAAAGACACTTAACCCATCTTGTCTGCTGGTGGTGGTCTGAGGACTGGTTCCTTCAGTACTCGGCAGCCTCACCTCTGTCACATCCCCACCAGTGTGTGAATGGGTGAATGACTGATTGTGTTGTGATGCGCCATGGGGGGTTGTAGAACCCTAAGAAGGTTGAATACAAATATCTACAGGCCATTTACCATTAATTGCTGTTGTTAACCTTTCTCAGTGGCCTGGTGGTAGAGTGTCTGCCCTGAGACTGGGAGATCAGGGGTTCGATTCCTGGTCGGGTCATACCAAAGACTTTGATAAAATGGGACCCTATGCCTCCCTGCTTGACACTCAGCATTAAGGGGTTGGATTGGGGGATTAAACCACCAAATAGTTCCCGAGCGCGGCTGTGTCTGCAGCTCACCGCTCCCCCAGGGGATGGGTCAAATGCGGAGAACAAATTTCGCACACACATCAGTGTGTGTGACAACTAATGGGACTTTAACTTTAACTTTACAGGTGACTGTGTTCCTGGGGAGCAGGTCGTAGAGCCATCGATTCAACCCGAGCCTCAGGTAGGTCTAACCAGAATTATCTCCTTTAGCGTTATGAATAAACTTGTCAATTATGTGTCCACTTATTTATTCATATATTTTTTGTTTAGTTGTATAAATTATTACAGCTGTTTGACATATTTTTCTCTTTCTTTGTTATCACTCTCAAATTTTTATTTTGGTTCACTGGAGTTCTGCAGATTGAAGAACTTTGAGTTGCTGTACTTTAAAGCCACAATAGCAAATTTAGAAAGCAAGTTAGCTTAAAAATTACATTATTAATTAATTAACAACATGTTAACACAGTTTAGCCATAAATATATTGTGGAGATTAAAAAATAATAATAACAACGCAAGAAATTAATGAACATTCAAAAGCAACCATTGGACCATCCGGCTGTCGGTCTAACCGAACCGCCGCACTTCCCTGGGTCCTCCATTCATAACACACTCACACATTTTGCAACAGAGCACCACGGGTGTGAGAGGTTCTCTGCTCAATACATCAGAGAATGAGAAACACCGGCTGCTACCATTTCAACTTTAGGACAAACTACCAGAGTCCCAAAAAGAAAAACACCATTTCAGTTACGCACAGTAAAAGATGTTTAGGCGTAGAAAACAGCGATGGGTGTTTTGCGCTCTCTGGCGATGCGGATTTCCGGTTCCAGCTAATGTTGTGTAGGGACGATACCCCCGCAGGAGGGGTGTGTTTTCTGTGACCATGTTTGTGTTTCAAAGCTAGCTTGTTTTGTAAATTTGCTATTGCAGCTTTAAATATAGAAGGAAATTTACATTCATCAGCTACAAAATAATGTTATCAGGAGAAGAGTTCAGTCTCTCTCCTAGCATCCAAACCCTGCCACCAATAACTCAGAGCTGAAAAACAGGAAACAGTGCTCTCCTGTCAGTGTCCCTGTGGGCCCAGTGAAAAACACTATAACTGCCCTCTAATGGCTGGTTCTAGTACATGTTTTAAGTCCCGCCCACAGCATGTAACGTGTGTTCACGTTTCAGGTTAGAAAATCAAAAATCTCAAGGTTTTTTATGCTATATTCTCTGTTGAATCCTAACCCTGCTGATATTCAAATCTCAATTTGTCCTTAACCTACACGTGAGAAATTCTGACGTTTAAACATCACAGTTTCTCTACAAGTGAGTCAGTGACACTTTCATCCCCATCTCTCCATAAATGCAATATGGTGGCACCTTTAACTGTAATATCCTAGCTTCATTTTTTTAACCAGGGGAAGTCCTGGTTTAAAAAATTTTTCATTGAACATCAGACTAATGGTTATAATGTAGATCCAAATAGGATATAAGTTAGTTTTAAAAAAATCAAAACACTGAAATGTCTAATTAATTTGCCAAATTAACAGACGCTCTGGGGATTGGGCGATTGGTGAGTTAGCTTGCATAGATGGACTTTACCAGCTTGGAACTGCCTTCTTTCCAGTTTGAACTGAGAAAGCACTTCTGTGGCTTATAAAGACTCTTAGGAATAATTGTGAAGATTTAATATTATTTTAAAGTGAATAGCCTTAAATCATCTTTACCTTTTTTAATCTAGCTGAGAAACTGCAATTCGAGAAAAAAAATTTCAAAAGTCATTCAGAGAATTAATAAAACACATTTTAAACTATCTGAATGTAAAATAAAGGATAATTTTAAAGGTTGAAGGGTTGTGTTTACAGCGAGTGAGGAGAAACGTGGTGCCTTCTTTACTCCTGGAGGAAACCGAAGGTTCTGGTGATGACATGCCTCTGTTCAACGGAACCGGTAACAAATCAAATCTTCCTCAAAGCTGTCAGCTGGACACTCTGATGTGATAAAACTGGTCAAAAAATTTCTTACGGTTCTGTTTGTTCCTAAATGTTCCCCACAGAGGCATGTGGCACATCTCCAGACACGGGGCCCTGTTTTGGGATGCACGAACGGTACTTCTACAACTCCTCCTCAATGAGCTGCGAGCTTTTCAAGTATGGAGGCTGTTTGGGCAATAAGAACAACTTTAAAACTGAGAAGGAGTGTCTGCAGAGATGTCGCACAGAGGGTGAGGAATCAACTACTTGAGATTTTTGCAGAATCTGCTCAATTTTACCTCTGTCTTTTTGTCTTTGTAGCCGTGTGCCGCCTTCCCATGGCTGCTCAGCCCTGCGCCGGACAACCAGCCGTCTGGGCTTTCAACGCCACCGCTGGTCTCTGCGTTCCCTACCAACAAGGCCTCTGCCAGAGCAACGGCAACAAGTTCTACACCAAGGCTGAGTGTGAGGAGTACTGTGGGGTGGTGAAAGATGGTGAGGCAGTTAAGGATAAATCCCAAACAGAAAAACAATATCTTTTCCACTAAAAACCCTTATCTGTCGTTCTCATGCCGTGAAACACGTTCTGTGTTTTTGCTGTTTTCTAGAGGAATTCCTGATGTCCATCTGAGTCAGAGGAGCAGCTTCTAGGAGGAGTCAAACATAAAGCAGGTTCATAGAGTGTGCATCGTGATGATGTCAAATCATGACAATCAGTGAATAAAACGTTAATAGTTTGGTTTTTGTTCTTCATTGATTCTTCCGTGTGTTGATTTTTGGATTCCTGTTCAGTGTTACGTTTAAAGTGTTGAACACTCATTTAATCAATACATTTGCAGTGATCTTTAGTAGGAATCAAAGCCTTGTAAGTCTGACTCTGGGGAAGAAAAACACTGGTGCGTCATTTCCAGGAACTAGAGGTGAGCCACATCACAGCTCAGCTTCAGACGGCAGGATTTGGAGTCTTTTTTCCTGATATTTTGGCATCTAAACTCTGATTGGCTAACAGCAAAGTGACTCTACCACTGATTTGCAACAGTGGCATTTTATCTCCACAAATAACACAAGCATGGAGGAGTTCTGCTGTGTGGTGGAAGTGCTAATGCTAACGGTTAGCTTCTACTAGCCGAGACGTTCTCGGCTGTTTCCTAGACATTAAACCAACAACAGCCTTCCCCGTCACAAGTTAACATGGGTTAGTCCATAATGTTAAGTGACAGTGGGATGTAGCTCTGTCAAGATTTTCAAATCCTAGAGTTTCAGCCACTATTTTCTATCAGAAGCTAATGAAGGAGATCGGTGTAGGAGTCTGTTTTCATGTTCATGCATTAAAAACTCAGAGTGACCAATCATTTCTAAAAATAATAAGTAAAACATGTTTTTTTCAGTGAAGGACCGCTTTGTTACATTTATAGGCTCGCAATGTCTAATCATAAATAATCATTAAAAGTTTTTTCCAGTGTTCCACACCTTTAATATCATAGCTTTAACAGCTCCACCTGACCTTCACCTGCCTTTTAAATAGATATTTAGCAAATTTTTCTGTAATGATTAGTTATTTTCTTCATTAAGGACCCTTTTGCCATGGCGTACTAGCTGGATGAACATAATCACGGTGTAGGATGACAAAATACAAAAGGATGAATCCAAAAGGTTCAAATTGTCAGTTGGATATGCAAGTCCATTTATTGTCTAAAAGTTCAGGAAGTTGAAATCATATAAAATAAAAATGATTCATTCAAGCACAAACATGACCACGGTAGAAAACTGTTTGTCTCTATCTACCACACCTATACATTGATTGCACACCCTTTTAAACCTTTTTTTGCCAAGGGCACCCTCTGTGACTACTGGCTCCACCAGACCCTGTCTGTGAAAGCCAGTGTAGAGCCAGCTAAGTGTCTGATTCTGCTGGAGTACAGATCAGTTTCTCTTAAAGGTGTATTATGTAGAAAGGAAGTAAAAATGACATTCTGTGGTAAAATTCGTTACAGCAACCACTTTAAATAACTCTGGAGCTTGTTGCCGGTCATCATCAAATTACAGTTACAATTGCTGCAGTATTAGCTCGCAGGAGGCACGACAACCCCACACTCACTGATGGTAAACAGTAGTTATGTCCCTCCTTCCTTTGTTTTGAAGGGACAAAAACTGGCAATCCCCACAGCCAGCTGGATATGAAACATGTTGCTGCATAACCTTTCTTCCAAAATGACTGAAACATTAAACCTTTTTGAGATTTTCTCACTGTAAAATTCTCCCTTTATTCTTACATATTGCACCTTTAAACAGACAAAAAGGTTTCTAGGTTTTTCCACAGGTGAGAATAAAGAGGTAATGAACCAGTTCCTAGATTAGGGGTTCTCAATTCTGGTCCTGGGGGGCCGGTATCCAGCACATTTTACTTTCACCCTGCTTTAACACACCTGATTTCAATCAGCAGGTGATTAGCAGGCTTCTGCATGAGCTGCTGCACACTGACTCAAGTGTGTTGAAACAACAAAAACATGCTGGATACCCCCCCCCCCCCCCCCCCCCCCCCCCCCAGGACCAGGATTTAGAACATCTGCACTGCCATCAAGAGTCAAGTGAATTTCAGCTTCCTGTTAATGATTTAAACCAGAGGGGGGCGATGTTACTTCATCTTGAAGTGACCCTTATGTGTTTCACTCCAACAGCCACTATACATATTATATATAATGTGACTTTAGTCAGCAATTGATGAGTCACTCGGAGCTGAAAGTTGAGCACACATCACCAGAACATGCCCTCTCTCCAGCGGAGGAGCCAGGCTTCCTGCTCTCGGTTCCCAGAGTTCCCGGCTGCTGGCAGTAGAATGCTGGGAATATCCGGAAAGGAAAGGGAAGTGACATCACAGCGGTGACCTTCCGTACCAGGCCAGTTCACCTGGTGCAGCCTGCACGAGAGAAGCTACCATACAAGAACACACAGAGAGAGAGAGAGAGAGCTAATGACTCATTCTGATACTGAAGTCTGTTTTCCAGGAGAAGAGTCAGAGAGAGAGAGACACCGAGGTTCTCATGAAGAGAGGAAGCGACAACCTCGATTAGTTCTTCTGAAAATGTTCCAACAGGCAATTTGAATTCACCAGAAATCTGAGGGGAAGATTCCCACTATCAGCTGCTTTCTTGTCACAGCAGCTCCAGCTTTTACTGTCTGACTCTGCATCCGCCTGCAGGCTGAATGTGCTGGCTTCTCGCCACCACAGATCAACAGGTTTACGTTATACTTTTATAGTTATCGTAATTCATCCAGACCTGCCAGGAAGAACAGAACACTTCCCTGAACCAGCTCGAATTAAACTAGAGAAAATAGTTTCTACTGCTGTTAAATCAAAGGGTTGTTTCACACTGGTCAGATCAGCATGCTTTAATTCCAGTCTAATAATGAGCATTTTACTTTAAGTACTTTACTTTTACTCATTTTTTACAGGGTTGGATAAAGGGTTTATATTTATTTGAACATGTGCACTTCATGCTAGTCCCCAATAAAAACATCCAAAAAAGTATTTAAAATGTGTGGTTTTAGTGAGGGTCTGTGCACGGACAGAATCATAAAAGAGAAATGAGTAAATAAAGTTTGAGTTTAAGGTGAGAAAAATAACGATGCAGGTGTTTTTAAAACCAAATCAGGTGTTGTGTTTGTGGTTCTCACACACACAGAGTGGTGTTTGTCTTACTTCAGAGGTCTGACGGCACATTTATCTCAACCAAAGCCACATCTTGCCAAACCCATATCCTCGCCCCGACCTGCAACTGCAATCACATCACTTTCTCGCCTTCTCCAGTTCAGCTCTGAGTGAGTGCGGCTGACCGACTGGCAGTCGTGCACATTTAAAGACTCTCATCTCCCATTCTTCCCATCTCCAGCTGTGTCCTCCATGGGTTTCCCCTGGAATCTAGCAGATGGTTCTTCAGACCAAGAAGCTCGAGCCTGAAACTGAAAGTAGCGTCTTTAAAAAACAAGGGAATGAAAGGCTTGTTCAATGTTAAAAAAAACAGCAGAATGAAGTGAGGATAGATGAGGGCAGCAAACACCCAAGTCCACTTTGGATTAAGAAAAACTGGAACCATGGGGATGAGAGCTAAATTCTGATAAAAAGACAAGTAAAACATGCAACAGGCTAGTGGAACAGAATTAACAAGACCTAAAAAGAGCCATTTGGAGCTAACATCTTTGTTCGAAGTGTGCTCTTGGACGTGAATCTAATGGTTTTCCCTCCTGGAAAGAAAAATATTCAAGTTATTTCCTTTCACAGGCCTTGACCCGTTTGCTTACAAGCTCAGATGCAGCTTTTAAGGTCTGAAACAAGCAGAGATGCTGAATGAATAAATGCATCACATAACCTGGTATGGGTTTGTTGCAGACTTCTGACATTTAAAGGCAATGACTCAGACCTGGCATTGCTTCAGGAGGATATAAAACAATAAATAGTTCAGGCACAAGTAGATTTCTTTCATAAACCTGTTTGCTTACAGTCAGCCATCCAGAATGCTCTGAATGACCTTTGACCGACTGACCTCAGGAATATTAGCCTCTCTCTCTCTCTCTCTCTCTCTCTCTCTCTCTCTCTCTCTCTCTCTCTCTCTCTCTCTCTCTCTCTCTCTCTCTCTCTCTCTCTCTCTCTCTCTCTCTCTCTCTCTCTCTCTCTCTGCTTTGACTGACCTCTTTCTGACACCCCGCCACCCCCCACCCCCCACCCCACAGACACACACAAGACCCAGCACATTCCTTTCCCCAGGTGGCATTAAAGACACAGCCAGATCAATGTCCTAATGGGCTCCGGACCAGAGGCAGACGATTATTAACCCCCGACTTGTGTGAGTTCCTCATCCGCCTGGCCAGACTACTGTGGGACCCGTGTGTGTTATTAAACTGGCTATTGTGTGTGTGTGTGTGTGTGTTGGAAGGGTGGGGGGGAGTGTCTTCTATCATGTGGAGGTCTAATGTAGGACCAGAGCAATGTTATGTTCATGTAAACACAAAAATCACACATTAGAGGGTTATGACAGAACTTTATAAGGTTGGTTTGCAGGGATCAGAATATAAATATGCTGCAGATTCAGTTAGATCTGCAGACTTGACTGAGTAATGAAAATGCTGTGACTGTTTTCAGTGAGCACACACACACACACACACACACACACACCTCCTCAAACCTCCTGACAACTCTCTCAGCTCCCTCGTCCTCCAACTTTTCATCGCTCCTTCTCCCCCGCATTGGCCTCCACTTTAGCTCCACCACAGCCACAAATGTGTGCGCGTGTGTGTGTGTATGTGCATGCATGCATGCGTGTGTGTGTGCGTGTAGGGCTGGTAGTGGAAGGACAATAGGCAGTAAGGGGGCTAGTTGAATGGGACCATTGAGCCTGTTCAGCCAAACAGAAAATCATCTCCCATCTCACTTCAAAACCCACAAATTCACTCTGTACAAGCAGGCTTTTATTCCTTGTAATTACTCCCTGATACGCACGCGCACACACACACACACAGATTTACACACATTGACATGTATGTAACTAGTATGTGTCAAAGGCATTGTACCAATCTGCATTTGAGTCTAAAACTATCCATAAACAAGTTATGCTTTCATATGCATTTGATATGCATTTGATGTGGTTCTTTTTCTAGCTCCAAATGAGAAAATAGTGTATGTCTGTTGGGTAACGTAGGATCCAAATGCAAACATGGCTTAGGAGGAAGTAAGTGGAGGGGA